GTGGTCAAATATATTAATTTATTTTTGGATTGACTATTGAGTGACTAATACATCATAATAGCCGTATTTTATTTTATTTTGTTATTATAATTACATTACAACTGAAATAATTCAATTTATTACTATTTGTCTTAAAAAAATTGATGTTTTATTTTATAAAAATCCCTTTTTGAATAGAAATGAAACAATTAGATGAAATAGAAAACCTAATAATCAAATTTAATTTTACATTCTAATCAGTCAAGGTTTTATAGAAAAAAGTTTTTTGAGATATTATAATACTTTATTAGATATTAGTTATTATAAATTTATAAGAAAACATTTAACTAAATATATATTATCATTAAACTATATATGATAACGTAACTAATTTGTGTTAATGCGTTAAATGTGCATATTATTTAAAAGGCGTATTACCAAAGTTTAGATAAGCAATTAAGTTTTCATGTGTGTTTATCGTTAATAAACACACATATAATATTGATTATAAACTTCATTGTTGACATTATATAATATTACCTTAGCTAAACATTATATTCATGGTAACATAATATAATGATAGCTATTAGGTTCATAAACGTTTATAATAATATAAAATAATGAACTAGAACTCGGTGCATGCGATTTAGCCAAAGGTCACAAGTGTACAATTCGAAAATTAAACCAGATACATAAATATCATTAATATAATAAATAGCATAATATTATAGTCTAACATTGACCTTAGAATTTTTTTTGGCAAATATCGAAAAAAAAGTTAAGCCTGCCAAATTGAATTTTGACATAAAATAATAACTATACAGTTTGTTAAATCAGTAAAACCGAAAACAATGCAAATTCCAATCCAGAAAATTATAATATTACAATATTGCAAAAAGTAATTAAAGTTTTATAATTTATAATTAATGATTCACATCCACGAGAACTCTCGCCAAACCATTTTATTTCAATTAAAGCTCAGGTACATTTTTCATATATTAATATTATTTTTAAAAATGTTTTAAAATTGAAATATTTGTTTTATGAACTGTTTTCGTATAAATATTTAAATACCCAAATCCCGTTTTAATAATCTAATTCTATAACGACATTAATATTGCTTTTATACAGAACATGTTATTTTGCATTCCGGTTTAACTTTATTAAACGTTATACATATACTTTATTGGTCAGGTCTAAAAACAAGTGTCAATTTTCTTTTGCTTCTTCGCTTGAAATCATAAATTTTTCACATTTTTTAGCGAAGCGGAGGCCGGATTACTGGACGTGCCGGATTATCATATAGCCGGATTACAAAAGACTGTATACATATTTTTTCTTTTTTAAAATACATTTAATTTCATAGCATTTGAATAACATCCGATATTATATTAATCAGTTTAGAGTTAAGCTCGGATTGTTGTATTGGTTTGCGAATTAAAGGGATTTTCTATTATTAATAAAAAATAATAATTTATTTCCAAAAAGTTCCCATAAATCACTAATCGTATAATATTTTTGCATTATTTTTACAGTCAGAATTTGATTTTGCGAAAAATATGTGTTTTATGATACTTACCGAAAGGATTAACTTTCACTAAAGTTGGTAAAATAGTCTTTTACTTTTATTTAGATTTTTAATCGACAGGTTTAAATTAAAATTAACAATTTTTATATAGGATTACGCTTTATGCACGACTAAAATATTAAAAATTTAATGTTATACAAAAAAAAAAAAGCGAGTAGCATAATGTGCAATTAGTTCGTCTATAAATCCCTTTATATTATACAAATAAATGTCTAGAACAAAGAAAAATAATTGCCATTTTCAGTAAAAATAAACATATAAAAATCTTACTACAGGAATTTAACCTCTGCGGGGTAATAAATTATCACATTCAATAAAAAGTTTTTAATATATTTAATTTTTATGGAAAATATTTATTACCTACCTAAAAAAATAAAAAACCGGCAAAACTTTTTATGGTTCTTGGAAAATGAGCAGTTTATGGCATAATATGACGTTTACCCATCGATCAATTTGGTGTGGAACTTTATTAATTAGAAATAAAGAAGAACATAATATACAAAACAATATAGGAAACTACTTAAAATAATTGTACAAAAATTAAACAATAGGTGGAAAATATAAATAAAGAAATAAACATGGTGCCAATATTATAAACCGTTAGCATATTATTTTTTATGATTGCATAAGTATATGGTCTTTCCACGTGGAACTGATGTGTGTACTTGTGTATTGTACACAAGAGTAATTCTAAACGTACCGCGAAAAATTGGTGAAATATAAAAAGCTAAACCGTCATATAAGGCGATCAGTCTGTTGGAATTACTTGACATGTCTGTTATTTTTTTAGACCATTTTTTATAAAATCGGGTGAAAACAACACTGCAATAGATCTTGTGTGTGTGTGTTACTAAACCTACGTTTTATACATTTGTTTATATTTTGCCCAGTAAATCGAGTAGGGAAAATTTTAGTTTGGGTTATAAAACATGTAAATGCACAGAGAAAAAACTATTGTACATTAATAATGATATATTATTATTTTGATACTGTACCTTTAACATAAGTATAAAAAAAATGTTTCCCTCTACAATTATAAACTGCGAAACGTGTCATCGCATCACGAGTCGGTTTTAATAACAATAACGATACCGGTGTGGGCATAATATTATGTTTCACCAGCGTTCACATGTGGTAATTAAAAGTTTTGCCGACTATATTATAAATTATGAACTATATTGAACTTCTAACGCGTTCAACGACATATCAGACTTTTACAACGGGTCCGCATAATATTAAAAAGTCATAGCCACCATGGCAAATAAGTCATCAAGACTTATTTAATTTAGCTTGGCCTAGAATAACATTAGCACTACTGGTCTAATGTTGTCCACTGTGAATTTACATCTGTATGGATGTTCTAAAAGTCCAAAATGTCTCTTTCGAGCAATAAAATATACCCTCTAAATATCGCCGACAAACTTTAACCGCCTGATTCCACGAGGACGGGAAAAATAATTTAAAGTTTTTAAATGACTGTACAATAGTGCAATCTGAATGAAAGCACAGTACATCCGCTTGCAATTATTATTTCCCTTGTTTGTATAACAACGTACTGAACGAAATGCAGTATTTCTATGATAGTTATTGTTTACACATTATCATGGTGTAGGTACACGATAGTATTATTTACTACAAATCAGTTGTTTTATAAAAAAAAAAAAAATTGATAAATATGCAGTGAATGAATTGGTAAATCGGTGTACTGAAAAAATAATATGCTTATTTTGTGATTTTCTTTAAAATATTATTGTCGTCGTTTTTAGATATTCCAATTCGTTTCCATCAGTAAACCCAATTCAAAATGTACAGTACAGCCACGACCTCAATTATTTATCAAAATGAAGTAATTACTAATTAGTAATGTGCTTATACTAAAATATTTCTGCGTCGAATACATGGAAAACCCTTGTTTACTTTGCGAGTAAATTAGATCAATGTTGGAATTAACTCTGAAGTCTCTTCGTTTAATTTATCAATTAATCCAAATAAGTCCTCGGCTTTCCGAGTATTTTAACTGCGAACTTTAGAATATATTTTCTTCTGATCTACGATTTGCTTCATACAATTATACCTCTGATGGCTACGGTCCTTTACTAAGAATAATTTTTTCTTGCAAGGCATGTATAATTAAAAAAATATATTACATTTAAACGAACCGAAAATAAATGTAAATTAACGGTTTTAGTTTTTTCTTCGATTGAGTATTTTCCTTAATTTGGAAGAAAAAACATTCAACACTATTTTCTTGTTCAACTATAAAACTATTTAATGTTTACCGTTTGCGTTTTTTATTTATAATAAAAAATACAGTTGAGCGACTTTTATGTAACAAGAGTGATGGGACTTATAAAACGGCCAGTAAGAAAAATGGTATTCTATATTTAAAGTTATTAAAACGATATGAAACGTCCTTAGCAAATGTAAGTATACATTCAATGTACTAAAATGGTGGCAAGCCGTAAATCGCTCTACAAAGTTAATGCTTGCTAAGACCGGAGTGTTATGTTAGGCTAGGATATTCGATTTGATTAAGACAAACTAACAAAAACTGTTTGCTTTACCATTGGATCCGGCTGGGTGTTTGTCGAGCGGCTAAACTGATAACGATATGACACATTTGAATTTTGATAAGGATGAACCTTATAGACCGCGTCGACCATCAAACAATAGAATTTTTTTTTATTTCTCATTCGTTTGACCGCCAAAACTACTTTGTACCTCATATAGGAACGAACGTGGTATCTAACACTCAAAGACGGGCAAAAAGTATCCAAGTATCCGTAAGTCCTCTGGCAGATCGATATTGCTATTGAAATCAGCTTGCTATTTGTATTGTAACGTCATAATATCAATAATTTACGCACGTATCTAGATATTTTGTACCTTGTTTCCACGCCCACACATGCTCAGGCAATTAGTAATTATTATGATTTATGCCAAAATAACGTTGTCACAAAGACCAGCGGGTGTACCATGTTGTCAAACCAATGATTAACACAAACAAAGATCGGGGCTTTGAACCCGAATTATATTTAATGACACGTTTATCGTTTCGGTCAAAAATCGTGTTAGGGGCTTATAACGGTACCATCGATTTCTTTAAGCGTTTATACGGGTTTAAAACCTGTGTATGATCATAATATTGACAACCTAGTATCATCGAGACCACGGTCCCTTTTAGACGCATAATCGACGCGGCTATGACCTGTTGCACAAACCAATTTGGGGGGAGGGAATGGAAATTCGGTCGGATTGACCCCGGCGCGAGTCTACCATATGGTAGACGTGCGCTCCGGTTCGACCGCGGGCAAGTGGTATAAATTAGAGCCGTACTACACTTTAAGGTACCATATTATATAATCCGGTCAGGTCAAGTTAATAAACGCGTGTTGTTATCACTAAGATACATAGGTTTTGTTATGCGACTCACCTGAAACATCATAGTCCAACCGTCGTGACGTCGTTCCGTGCAAATTACATATTGGACTGCGCCGTGCATGCGGGCCGACGGTCGACTGGGTAATGTTTTTTGGTTTTTTTTTTATTATTATTTCTATGTTTTCGCACGGTCTGGCTTGCGTAGGCGTCACCGCCAGAAGCGCCGCCGTCAGTGGAAGTGGCAGAGAACTTTCCCCTTCGCCTTCCCCTTTGCGCCGACCTTCGCCCACGACGGACCCCCACCAACGGCCCGAGCCCCGTGCCTTTGTACCCAGATAAAAGCCGGCGGTGCGCGCGCAACCGGTGTGCGTGGGCTTCCTGTTTTTATAATAATATTATCAATGAAGTGTAGGTACAGGCTACAGCGCGGCCGCGGTATCGATCGTCCGCCGCCGCCGACACTTGTTGCCCGCCATATTGCCCTTGCGGATACCGCGGCTGTTGTGTCAAAAGACTACCGCGGTAATAATAACAGCTATTATCGCTGACGATCCTGTACGGGGTCGTGTGCTGTGTAAAGCTAAAAAAAAATACACTTAAATCGTTACTCTTTTTAAAATATGTCTATCCATCCGCCAGCCGAACGGTCGTATAGCATGGCTAATCCAGAGTCGCGTAGACCGCGTTTCGATGGGCGTTCGTCCGCGGTACCGCCGGCCGGTGGTAGACACGGGGTGGCGCTCCTCCCATTCGCCCGACCACCCCGGCTCGAGTCAGATGGCTTCGGCCGGAAAATCTGACACGAGAGAATACCCCCCCCCCTTCTTCCACAAATGTATACTCACATTCACAAGGAACTAATAATGTCGCCCAAAAGTCGCGTGTGGGTAGCAAAAATAACGACTTACATATATATATATACAGAGCCAGTACCTATTGTTTTCCTCGAGACGTCCGAGTGCTGCTGTTGTACCGATACCGGCAAGACTATTCGCTAAACTCGTTATTGTAACAACTGTAAAAAAAAAACTATAATATTCCACAGTCGACGACGGTATTGGATTTAACGAGGTGGTCATAGGGGTCAACGAAAACACCTATATCTGTCTCGCGAGAGAACGGTAGTGCACAGAAACAAGAGATTAAAACACAATATGTTTACTGTTGTCTGCGCATGCGTTTTGGTTTTTGCGCACTACTCATCTCCTGGCAAACAGAGTATACTTATAGTACAGTAATAAGTACTTACGTGTTTGGTTAGTATACTGCGCCGGTATTGATGAGTTTTTTATATACAACAAAATAAAAGTGAAATACAAAAGGTTTCTATTTTGGGGAATCGAAGACATAGAATGTAACATTAGAGCTGAAGAACAACTAACTGTTGTGAAACTAACTAACTCCGGAGAGACGTTTTCCCTCGAGGCAAACAGTAACAACCACGTTTCCGAACTGTTGACTCTGCGTTATTGACTTAGGCGTGCAGAAACAACAAAAACACCACACACATAACTTAGCTGTACCTACTCTATATATCTATTGCTATCAAAACTTCGATATGCTGGTTAAGGTTATTTTTACTTACATTTATATTTTTGGATCTTTGGGTCTGTTTATTTATTAAAGTCTTAAGATGCCCTAGACGAGTACCTAATAAGTATATATACTGTATAACTAAAGGAGGTAAACATGTACAGAACTTCTCACATTGGTTAAGTTCTGTAATTGTTTACATACATAAGTATTTATAACAAAACTAGGTCGTTTGGTTTGTAACACTAGAGGCGTCTAACGTTTGAAACCATCTTGCGTTGGTTCTTGTTCGAAGGAGTTTATTCTGGACAACTTGAAATAAATAGTTTAGATTAAAGCTTTTTATATTTAATTTAATCCGTTGATCTGGTTAATTTTTGAACTTATCCCAATCGGTGAGTAGGGATAATGTTGAGTATAATGTTTCTGTTTATGTACTATACATGTAAAATGTCTACAAACTTATATGTTCATAAGTCTGTACCACTTTGCTCCGTCCTAACCGTGTCGGCTTTTTATAGTTTTAAGAAGATCAAACAGAAATGAATAATAATAACTATAACATTTCTACTGAACTTACTTCTTTTTTTTCTACCTTACCTCATAAGGTAATTTTATGCTCATATAATAAATGGATAAATATTATATTTGTACGAAATATAGTAAGTGTACAATATAGTTTAACAACGAAAAGTTGTTATTGAAAATATGAGAAGGAAGCAATTGTATATTTTAACGAATGATGTAGTTTATTATATGTAAGTGGACGTAGGTGTATTATTACATTTTTATAAAAATAACCAAGCGTCTCGTTGGTCAATATCTGTCATCCTTCGTTCGCTTCATGTATACTGCATAAAAAATAACAATGTCCAGATCGAGATAGCCTAAGTACATTATACAGGGTGTATCACGACAAATGTATAAATCGTGTTTTAGCTAAACCTGAAATGGTAAATGTACCTAAGAAAATCATTTCTTTTTATTCGCAAAATAGTGACCAAAACCGCAAGATATTTGTCTTTTTTTTTATGTGATAAATTTACTTGTCCAGTTATAATTGTTATTGTTACTGGTTTTAGCCTACTTTAGAACTAAAACATCAAGTAGTTATATTATTGAGTCATGCGTAGTGGTTTTTGTAAAACTCTATTTGTGTCAACTTCAAGAAAACAACACTTTTGCTCTATAATACATCTGAGAAATTATGTCTTTAGAGACAAAAAGAATAACTCGACAACATCATGGTTTGGTATTCTATTATAAGAGCTCCCATTGTTCGAGAGACATCTTTGGTCGTCATAATTGGCTCTCGACAATCGATTAAGAAAAGCGTTGTATTGTTTCTTTATACAAACAACCGGCGCGTCGCTGCGATGCGGCAAGCAAGTCGTTATAAATCAGATACACTGCTGAGGATATCTCTGGAAAAATCCTTAAAATTTTACAATGTAATAGTTGAACATTGGAAGTTATTAAATGTTAAATAAAAACTAGTCTTTAATGAATGCATCATAAGTGAGTAACGCAAACCGGCCATTTGTACGGCTTACGGTATGACAACTAATACATTTTAAAGTTCTATCATAATTTATAACGTATTCAATTTTCGTTTGTCTTATAACTCATTTCTTTAATCATTTAAAAAAACAACAACTAAAAATCTGATAATACATAAAATAGGTATTTCGCCGGAGTTGAAATTCTAATCAACCACAATACTTCTCACCTGAAAAAAAATGAATAACGAATTAGCATTTTCCGTTTGTGTACATTGATTTTAAAGTTGGCTGGTAAGCGGTGCTATACACAAAAACTGCGACTGATTTTGTGTACAGCAACGTTTTAAATCTGTACATTTTAAAATCGGGTTATTATTGTTTTTTAAATCAAAATAGTTATTAATATTAATGGTCAATAAAATTTTGATGGCGTAGTGCAAAAATGCATTCTTCTATCGACATTCATATTGTGTTATATTATGTGCTTTTTAAAACTATACTTTCTTTCTCTTTTCTACTGGTTTTAGCATAGAACACACTTATGCGATGACCAATTTGTCGGGAAGTTTCACGAAACTAAAAAACTAGGTTAGTGCTAGGTTAGAGTTTTTACAGCGAACCGGTCCATAGGATTTGTCTTTTCTAACAATTTTAATTCACAGAAAACGCACATACTACTCTCTGCCCGCATTAAAACTTATGGCTTTGGCGGAAGATAGCTTATCTTAGGTAAGTAGATACTAGGCATAAACAAAAGCACGTTTCACGTTTTACAACACACTTGCTCCATTGCAGAAAACCAAAAAGGCCTGAATTTTTCGCGTTTTTTTGTGCTCATATGGTGTGGATTTAAAGAAAAAATAGACATATTATACATGTCAAAATACTGCCCCTTTTTCTTTTATATACCTGTTAGTACGGTTTTAATCCAACTCAGATGCATCGGCACCGGCACCTTGGCGTTGACGAAAGGCGACGATTCGGTGCAAGCACTGCCGTAGCTGACCACTCCTATTACGGCCAGTTTGCCCGTGCTCGGGTCAGTCCACACGAGCGGTCCGCCCGAATCCACCTGACACGTGTCCGACTTTTGAAAAACGGTGCAAATGTGATCGCGTTCTTTGACGGTTTTGTAGTGTGTAGTGCATTTCGATATGGACACCACTTTGAGGTTGTTCTTTTGCAGAGCGTCGGACGCGGGACCGCCAAAGTTAGCCGTGCCGTAACCTGATAAAAACACACACAAAAAAAAAACCCCAAATAAAATACCTCTTATACGGTTAGATCGGATTACCCGCCGTCTTAAAAAACCAGGGCGGGCATAAAAAAACCCTGGCTGTTTTTTCAGGTAAAGTCCCACTAAACTTTAGGTCACACAATGTTGGGTTTTTCCAAAACAGCCCGGGTTTTTACGGATATGATCGTTTACCCAGCGCTTCGACCGTCTCGCCCACGAAGTCCTTGTCGGAGTACTTGAACGGCAAGCAAGCCGGTCCCACTTTCGACGAAAAAACAATTTCTTGGTGGGTCTCCACGATGGCCAAATCATGTGCCATGGATGAAGTGTTGAAATTCGGGTGTACGTACACGTCGGTCACCACTATAAGTTTGGCCGAATCCGTGTCGTTACCTGCAGCAATACGGTTTTGATTTATCAATAATAATTATCACCAAAAATCAGTCACACACACACAATCGATGACCCATCTACCGCGTGACGCTCGGTAACTCGGAAAATAACTTTGGATTTTTTTCTTTTGAAAACTACTTTTTATTTATTTCATTATACAGTGATAAAATTACATGGAGACAGGTATTCACTTTAAACTGTCAAAGTGCCAGAAAGCATGTCCCAGATGTACAAGACAATGTACCAAATATCTAGTATGTACAATATTAGTTAATTGTAAAAATAATAATCTGCCCATCGTAGCAGAAATGCAACATGTTTATTATATAATTTTATTATGTTAGAAAAAATACATTTAACTTAGGTGGCGCCTTGTTGAGATTTATTAAATAAATCACTATCTACCAAATGTTACAAACGTAATTTTCTTAGATACATACTTTTTTACTTGTTTTTTTCCAAATTCCTGATAATTTAATCTCTGTAAACCAGTTGTATGTTATAAAATTTTAAAAATTGGTCGTTGAATTGTCAAGTGCCTACGTTGGATGCTTAATTTTATTTTGAATTATTTTTCTAGCATATTATGTTGATTAAACCTACGTAAAACGAATATGGATATTTTTTATTTGACGATAGTATTGTAATAGTTTCAAAAATGAATTAATCTACTTTCGAGGTTTGATCAATTCGTCAAAATCGAATTGATGTCATTTATTTATTGAAACGTGCCACAATGTCGAAACGACCGTAGAGACAAACCATAGCAGACGAGTTTAAGTAGTTTAAGTACGGTCGCCGCGATTCGACGACTTGCGATTACTTGGAAGCTTCTCTGGACGGGTTATTGTCTTAGAAGAAAACAGCTTTCTCGCGTCTGTGTCGGTTGGTCAACATTAATTCGGCATGTAACCCCGCTAAGTCAAAATCGCCGTCCGTTAGGGATTAACACACAAACGTTACAACTTACCGTCGTTTCGCAAAATCCTTCAAGTTTTATTACTCCGAAAGTCGTCCCTTAAATTTGCCCCCCGGAAATTATGCATTATAAACAAAGAAGCTTGACGGTCCAAAATGGTCATTTTGCAGCCGTTTTAAGCAGCTATCCTTGGAACGAAAATTGTGCATTGTCCAAACTCGAAATTATAATAATAGTAAGTCAGAATACCATACAAAACGTCAGCTATAATGGATTCCTGCTGTACAAATCCGCATGGGAAGTAATAAGAGATTAAAATTATTTTCCCTGTAGAGGAAGCAAGCAAGCCCTCCTGTGGCGGAGCTGATTGAAATTTCAGTATGAGGTCTTTTCGTTTTACTATATTTTTTTTTTAAGTTATAATGTTGGTAAACTTAAATTCGCCAATGTTTTAAACTATACCATACTCCGTTCTTAGTACCGCGCCTTCTTTATTGGAAATGCTAACTTATAAAAATGTCTGGTGATTTATACAGATTTTAGAAGCTTCCAAGGGAAAAAATTTATATTATATAATATACAAGCATTTAGCCATTCACATTTTGCTGTGAGTAAAAATTAGTTATAATCGTGTTTTTAATACATATTTTACACTAATTCATTTACAGACTCTTAATGCTCGTATCAAATTGATTTTTTCGCCCAAAAATTAATTAAGTTAATGGAAATTCGAAAATGGATATAATATGTAAAACACTATATTAGTGTTACACCTACAAACGATTCCCTCTAACTGTTTAATTCAATCAATTACACAAAAATAGTATATTTAATCAACGAAAAATAAAAAATACATTTTTGTGTATTTTACATTTCTGTAAGGCGGTGCGCGCAGCTTAAAGAATATTTTTATCATTGTCCTAAAAATCGTAATCTGTTCTTAAAAGTCATTTATAGTTGAGTTAAGTCGAGCTGAGTTGAGAGTCGCAGATTAAAAAAATTATTTATTCAGATAAATCCTGGTTTCTTTGGAAAATGCTTTAATGGAAGTAATTTATTATTTACAATAATACTTATCTTAGTGTATACATATATATATATATATATATATAATATATAATACTTCATATTATATGTATTAAAGTAAAATTCATTGAAACGAACCATTAACTAAAATGTTTGCAAAAATAATCCAATTACTTTTTAAAGTTCAAATCTAAAATAAAATATAAGTATGTTCACTTTATGTAATTGCCAGGGTAAAATAATACGTTAATTAACTTGTTTGTCTTATAAAAACAGTATAAACTTTAAAATGTCTTTACGGAGAAATAACAGTATAATATTCTGTAATCTTTACTAATTATTGTTTCATATATTTTGTTAAAATGTGAGCTGTTATATATCTTTCTTAATATTGAAGCGTTTAATTATTATCCATTTTAAACAGCGAAAACTAATTAGAATTATTATTTATTATACTTTAATACTCAATACTGAAGGCCGGGCAAATTAAAGTACCCAATGAACTCATCCGTGAAAGATTTTTATGTATAGGAGGAAAATATTGTACTTGTATTTTAATATAACACATGCATAACATCTAATATCCGATATCCTAAAATTTATTTTGCTAAATTCTATAATAAATCAAGTAAAAAAATAAAACTAGAGGCTATTCCAAGAATAGTATTCTGAACCCTCCTGTTCAATATAAATTTATTCGAGCCTGTGGTTAAAAATAAAATAATGACAAGTCTACCCCCGTCGAGTGAAAAACGGTGTAATATTAGAAACTGGCTGTATTTTTTGCACTATCCTAAACCTAATAGTAGCGGGTCAAAACCCAATCGATATTGTTTGTAAAGGTACATATTGTATGTGTGTGTGTGCACACAGCAAAAACAAGCCTACGAGCATTGTTTTGACATAAGGGTCGCTCTAATTAGAAATATATAACAATCGATTTTCCGGTTTTGCCAGGTACATAAAAACATATTATTATACACTATAGAGCTTCCCATGTTATTCCCTTTTACAGCTATACACGCTTTAGATAATATGTATAAATTATAATGAATATATTTATCATAATATATTCTGTAATTCTCGGGTGTACTATAGCCGATCTGCGCGCGTGTCAGGTGTGTTATATATTATTACTATTTTTACTTTTTTGATTTTTAAAAAATCAAGTAGGTAAGTATGGTAATTGTAATGTTAAAAATCGAGACTCTGTAACTGTCTCAGCTTTAATATAAGTTACGCAATACACAGGTAGATCGGATTTCATACCCATGCGATATAATGATTTGAATTTGAGAAAAGTCAACGTGCCTATGCGATCTTATAACGCTTAATTTTCATTTGATTCTAAGCTCATTAAAAGGAGCTTGCCGAAAAGATACAAAACATAAATGTATATAAATCATTTAAGTTTCCTATAGTCAATTATTGTAAATTTTAGCTATTTTTCTTTCCACTTGCAGATCTCCGAAACAGATGAACGGATTTTGTTGGTTAGGGCATAAGCATGGCCGAAGATTTGAATTTTAAAACTAAAAATTAGTGCTACATTTTTACTTTTATTTCGACCAATCTCTCACTAAGAAATAGCACTAATTTTAAGTCTTAAGGTTTTTTTTAGTATGCCAAGCCTCCAACAAATCTCCACCCATGGTTTAAATTTTAAAGAACTTAGAACTTTAACACCGACTTGACAAGTAGTATTTGTGGTCGCTGTTGGACAACCAAACCAATATCGTTCATTACATGTATAGGTACAAAATATATGATTACCTTTGGACACGTCGTGATCGCCGACTAACAAACCAATTTGATACGGACTGACCCGGGTTAAACAATGAGCGGCGGTCAAAGCGTGGTGCTTGCCGATGATTGTCGCGCCGCAGAACAAGTTTGCCGTCCGTCCGTCTATCAACGAAGCCATCAATGGGAACTCGTTGACTCCAGCCGTTTTCCCGTTGCCAGACCTGCCCTGAGTAGTGACCTGAAAAGAAAACAAAGTCCGTCCGTTTCTTTAGCATAATTCAGTTCCCGTCGGATTAACCTAGCAATTAGCGCATAATCTGAAAGTGGGCACGACTGCCGTATCTTATGCAGACCGTTGATTTATTCAAAAAAATATATATTTTTGACGAGTACGCATTTCGGCAGTTGAATATTCATGTGACATAATAATCGAATCGATTTGTGTAGCCAACCATTTTTAAAAGGAATTTGCTGATCAGCGCGGAAAACAACAAAATACAAACCACAATAATTGAAAACGTCCCACGTTCCATTGACAAAAGAGCCGTTAACCTTTTGCGTTGACGCCCTTCCTTCGGAAATCACAATAATAGTTATTATTTACTCGATGATACTCCGTTATATTATAACAACCGTGTCAGAGTCATCTACACTTTACGTTTCATATGATGTAAAATTTATTAAAATGTCTTAGCATTTTCCTCGTCTGTTTCGATGAATAAGGTCAATCCTGCTTTCGCATGTCCAAACTATCTCTATATATTCTCTTAATTTTACCCTAAGCCCTACTAATGGCGGAACTCGCATATCTAACCTATACAGTCACTCCACACATCCATCTCACCTTTTTTTGTTTTAGCTACTTAAATTTTCCTTTCCGTCTTAATAACAGCTTTTTGTCAAACGACACATCCATTCGTTTTTTCCATTTATTCCAACTACAATTTTCTTAATGTATAAATTCTTTTTTTCCCTCCGTTCTCTTCAATAACTGATCACAAATACTTAAATTTTTCTACCATGTTCAGGTAGGTACCACTTGCTCTCCGAGAATAAAATAGCTTCTACCTGTGGACTATGTTTAGAGGAGGATGTTATCCTCATTGAAATTAAATTGCAGGTATCCTGTATATTTATTGAAACAATACTGCCATACAATTATTGCCTTAGCTGATATCTAAAAATCCACCAAAACATTAATCAAACGTGAAATGTAAAAACTTTGAAATGAAAAGTATACAATAAATCACAAGTCCACTTATTTAATAACCTGCTTTAAAAGTATAGACCATAATATATGCAATACACGTTTTATGTCTATTGTCTAAACACTTTTTATTTAGTTCTTTAAATAATAATAGTATTTTTAATGATATAACCATTATGTGTTTAGATATAATAAACAAAGTTGAATTAATACATTTTGATAAAATATAGCAAATTACGTACACGGCAAAAGTTGTTCATTCTTTAGTCGGTTAAAGTTGTATTTTATTACATAAATTAGTTTCGAAGACGTTGATGAAACGGGTGTAATAAACCGGGTAGAACGATGTAACATAATATGAGAGATATTATAACATTATTAATATATATATATATATATTTATGGACGTATTAAACTTGAAAAAGTTTCCACAAATTCAAAAGTAAGTGAAAAACAAGAATATATTGTTGTACGAGTCCATATGGCGTAATTAAATAAAACTTTGGCTTCGCAATGACTATAATACTCTTCGAATGTATACTGAAACTGATATTAAATTTTCTCCATTACTACCTCTGGTACATTGAATCCACTGTAATGTATTTATACGACTTCGGCAGTATATTATTTGCTCTCCCTTGCGCATTTACCTACATTCAGACTGTCCCGAAAACCAAACAAGGTGAGCGCATTGTACAATGCAAATTAATATAATGAAATCTAACGCATATTTCAACAACGACAAATAATGGGGAATTTTTTTTTGTCCAAAAAACCTATACAAAATACTTAATTTTTGGCACTGTTTTCTTGCAATGTTTATAATATTTTATTATAGTTTGAAATTCAGACAAAAATATAGTAGCCACCGTTTCGACTTCCACGCCAAACTTGATAAGTATTGATTTTAGAAAAAAAAAGTGTTTTTATACGTCAATTTTTCCATTATAATAAAAATTAAAAACAATAACATTACAAGAGCACTATCCGGGTCGTCGAACAAATGAGAAAAATGAGTTCAGGCTGATGTCTAGTTTAATCAGTATTAAGTATATTATATTGGACTTTCGGATAAACGAGAAAATTATTAAGGGAGATGGTTTGAACTGATGTGTATAGCTATTATAGAAAAAGGAAGACAAGCGCTGGCGGAAAATAAAACCTATTATTTTAAATTGTCAAAAACAGTTACGGCTTTTGCAAACTTTAATGGAATTTGTTATTTTATACCTAGTTGCAAAGTCGAATACACATACCACATGGATTATCTGAATTTATATGTTTTCATAACATAATATTGGATTCGACATTTTCAATCATTGTTTCTCTACAGATGTGTATATTATATAATATTTATCCAGCGACTGGTTGTAAAGATACTGTGAGTATCTAATATTAAATTTAATCTATATTTAAGGAATTTGTATTCATTTACCTTACAGCCAAATTAATTTTATTAAAAGTAGCCACTTATTCGATGGCTACTTTTGTATAAAAACTGCAATTGTATTGTATTATATTATTGTTCTAATTGTTTTTATATGCGGCTATGCAAGCATGTTCAATTAAGATGCTATGCAATATGTTGCCCTCCGTCACGGTTGGACGGATTGTAAAGGAAGCGTTTGCATATTTTACAACGATAAGTCGAAAATAAAGTGGTTAATGATTTAATGGTGTAGGTACTAATAACATACAAAAACGCATTGGACTATACAATTATGGTATCGCTAAGTGCATATTCCTCAATAAAGTGATAAATCAGTTATTACATTTCGTTGTGGGAAATTAATTCCACGGTTGTTTTTCAGTTGTTGGAATTATTTCAAAATTATTGACTCAAGGAGTACACAAGACAAAACAATAGTCGGTAGTCGATAAAATATAAGATAATCAAGTACATAACTAATAAGTATAAAATATTCGGTTCATTCAACCAGTTATTACTGATTAAGTTTGATGAACGTCTATCATATGATACAAACAAACGTAGCAAGCACTCACAAACATCAAGAAAATCACATAAAATAACCTTAACGATCTTGAAAGCCAAACACTTTTTATAACTTTCTTAGTGCATTAATTTTATAGCTGTCATATATAACTAGTCATTATTATTTTCACCTTATTCCTGTTACCGCAATCGCAAGTGCGCGAATATTTTTCGGGTTCTCGTTTAACATGTTTGGCGTACTTGGCGCCCAACGAGCACATGAACTTGCCGCCCTTGCTGTGAATCCTCGCCTTGAACATTATGCTCATCTTGTTGGTCCGACTGCTAATGGTGAACGACCTAGGTCCACATCGTCGGACTCCGTCCATGAAATTAGCGTCTCCCGTCCTGGACACGACCAACGCGTCCGTTTCGCATAGAGGACTCTGGAAGTTTAAAGAAAACCGTATCGTTAGGGTCTAAGATACCTAACCGTATCTTAGATTATTTTCTAATGTCCTCGCCCCCCCCCACCCCCCGAAGGGTTATAGGTCCCCATAATAGGGTGCTCGAGGGTGAATAAAACGCCCAGATTTTCGTATTAATATACTTAACAGATTTCTATGTTTTACAAATGTAAAATTTAAATTTTGTAAGTTTAAAATAATTACAAAATGTTCGCTAAACGTATAGGAATACCTATCGTATAATATAATCGTAGGAAGTAAGAAATTGTTTATAATAATTCTATTTTAATTTCAAGACACTTTTGGGGATTTTAGACCATAATTATAGGACTTGTTTGATCGTAAAAACTGTTACTTATATGGCTTGCTATTTCTGAACGATTTTCGTCAATGGGCCGTCTTAAGAATCGGGCGCAAACTAGATTGTTACAATATAAATTTACAAATCCATCCTTTCATTCCACTGAAAGAGACAAACTCTACTTCACACTTCTACTGTAGATTGTGATATTATAATACTGGATAAATTCACTACTTTAAAGAATAAAAATACGAGTCCGTTATAAATGGACATATTTGATAGTGTACGATGTTATATATAACTAGAAAATTAAGGCCACCCCATTCATTCACATTTTTCAAATTTGAAGTATAAGTTGGGGGTGTGTGTGGAGCTAAGACTAACTATTGTCTTGGCGACCCCTAAGATTGAACTCTACGTGCGCTCCCCCCCCCCCCAAGTGCATCTCGCCCCTCCGGTCAGAGACGAACGGGTACAATAGTGTTGTTGTGTTTACTTCGGGCAGATAGAACTCCTCGCAGTTTAACACCAAACGGCCGGACGCGGAAGTGGTTTTGGCGTGCCACCGGCACTCTTGGCCGAGCGAATAGTGATCCGGATATCCGGGCGAGTACAGCGAATACGACCTGTTGCCGGGCTCGACTATTTGGAAAAACTCGCATCCGTTGAAACGATACCCGTCGGCGTCTTCGTCCGGACTCGAGTCCGTGAGTTCGGCCGCGGACAGACCGACCACCACGAGCAGGGCACAGCGGTATGTTGACATTGCGAGCTGGTCTTTGAGAGTGTGTTCCGACTTGGCCGTCGTTAATTCGTTTGCATAAGAAAATAATAGGTAACAGTACAACACAGCCGAACCGAACGAATCGATAGCGCCGTTAATCATTTCTAGAAAAAACTCGAGGGGACCTGATAATCGCCTTGCCGCGTTGTGTCCTTATTAATTAATCCCAACTGAGTCGTTTTACTTCCCCTCGAGTCCCCCTTTTTTGTACCTATAACCGCGTGCGAGACAGCGTTTGTAATGTATGAATTATAACAATATGTCAAAACCGGCCGCGATAACACTCGTATAATGTATTGTGGCAAACCTATGCCACCACGAAATTACATATTTTATCCTTTAATATTCACCGCACCAACATTGTTGTTGTAATTCTATTTGAAGTTCGACCAAGCAAACAATAAAAAATATGGACATTATTCGCGGCATTTCAAAAATCAATCGTTGGAAAATTAAGTATACAGTATACCTGTATTAAACCTAATGGATTTGTTCAACGGACTTCATACATTTTATGACGCTAAATGCTAAACAAAATGAATTGTCGGTCGATAAAAGAAGGAATCAATATACATAAATTATACATAATATTATTATCAAGGAAAATATATTACTTTACTTGGCCATTAACTGCTTTTTTTTTCACGACCAAGAGGGGAGACCCGCTTGTCACATTGTTTCCTAATTAGATATATTTATGTACTTAGCCATTAGCTATAATTTATTCCTTACTTTATTTATCATTCTATTCTAATTATACCTGCTGCAAATTTAAGTTAAGTTTCAAAATCGTTATTTTCAAATACAGTTTATACTTGCACACTAAAATCGTAAATAAAAGAATAATTTAAAGCTAATACAAACTTTTATTTACATTTTCGAGTTGTTGAGGATTTATATAAAACTAAGAGCGTCTATGTACAAGCATAGACTTATTCAGCGCAGTTTTAGATTACAAGTAAAACCGCAGTTAACAAGTCACGTTTTTTTGACATACTTGGATGCTTTAGGAAATTGTACCAACTTAAGCGTTATGATTTTTAACTATTAATCAAAGTACCTGACGCTGATGGGGTAATTCGACCATTTCGCTTAATTTTTTACACTTCGACAGTCTATTGAGCAGGCAAGATTGATGCTCTTGGAATTTAATCTGACGGCTGTCAGGCATAACGGATCATGCTATATAGGTATCTAACACTAAAAAATACTATAAAGATATACTCAATATGTTAAAAAAATGTAATCCTATATTATACCAAAAAAAAATGCGTTATTTAATTATTATACTTACAAAGCCAGTTGACACTTTTGATGAGCAAGGTATATAAGATTATGGTTTTACTTATTTTAAATGTACAATTAAATTAGTCACGATTTAATTTTGTGCATTTAAATAATAATTGTACATATTTTTTGTGCTATGTTAAGCTTTTGTAATGCAATTTGTAACGCTTACAATTTAAAAAATTATTTAATCATTTACCCAGTATAATATGTTTTATAGCATGCGTTTCTAGTGCAGGTATGATGTTTTAAGACAGTTCCCACTCGATTAGAGTCGAGACTAAACTTTTGTACTAGTTATGAACTGTAGAAAATGCATAATACATTTTATGGAAATGTTTATTATGTGCTTTTCGCGCAACCCTTATATCGAAATGGAATATCACGAGTCATTAATATGAAATTAAACAAAAAAGGTTTATTAAAATTCCAAGGTTTTGGTACTTGTTATTAAAAAATGTTCGACGCCTTCGGGCGGTTATGCCGGGTCCACACAGAGCGAACAATATTAGAACAAACAAAAACACGATGTTTTTTGACAATTTCCAAACAATTTTGTTTTTTTCAACCAAATATTCTGTTTTTTAAGAACAAACCGTTCATGGTGGGAAATTTGTATTGATGTTTTTGTTTTCATGAACACTATAGCTCGGTGTGGACATACAATTGTGTTTAAATATTAATTGTTAAATGTAATTAAATATTAATGTGTTAAAAAATAAAAACAAGTTATATTAATAACTTGTTTATATAATACCAATGTCATCATCCCGTAAATCTTTTAAATGTTCATTGATTCATGTACTTTTTTTTAAAATTTATTTTGAACATTTAAACAAATATATCCAGCACCCAACATTAGTATATCTTCCTCATCTTCGATATCTCTTTTCAGTTTCCACATTAATATTTTAATTATTTAAAAAATTTAATTATTAAAATAAAAACGAACGAACCAAGAACCGAAAAGATCGCACTTCGAAAGCAGACTAGACGACTGTGGATGGATAACTAGTATAAAAAGCACATTTTTAAAACGATCTTTTCAGAATGGATAGATGAAAAAAAACCCAACACAAACATAGTATTGACATTTTTGTTCATGATTTGTTGAGGTTTTTTGTCAATTCAGTCTGGAAAAATGTTTTTTTTACAGTTTTATTTTTTTAAACAGAAAAAAGTTGAGTTTTTGTTTTGTTTTTTAAAAACCTCTGTGTGGACCTGGCTTTAAAAAGTTAAATAAAAAGAAAAATTTCTATTCTTCTGGGGTACGGAAAATCTCAGGATTATTTTTTTCTGGGAAACGATTCGTGGCCAGCATATTTTTCCCCGGAACGAGGGTAGGTAATATATTATTATGGTTTAGCGCAAAAACACATACTACAATATATGAACAAATAAATTACAAAAAAAAATAAAGGTTAAGGAAAAGCGAGAGTCTCCATTGGATTAGCAACTGTTGGTCGTTATACCCGCCTACACCCCTGGCTTTGTTCTTGATTTTACTAAATCGGTTTTGACACAAACATGACACCTTAAATCCAGATTTTGGCAAATACCTTAATATCAGTTACACGATATGTTTTTATCAATGTATATAAACAAATAACTATATTATTAGGTATTTTCCGCTGTCTATCACAACGCTGTACCCTCAGCAGCCTGTAGGTGTACTTAAAATTGTGTGAAAATAAATTAACGTTCTGACTTTTCTTCAAAGTTTCATTTTTAAGTTACAAATCCCTTTAACTATAATATAACCAATGGGTTATGTTATATTATACTAATAATTGTACGCAGCGAAAGATAAATTATAATAATATGCATTTATATTTTTCTACCCTACTATTCTGCCTACTATAGTACTATACTAACTAAGCACAGTTTATTATGGTGTTGAATAATTTTTACATAGGTATTGTATTATGACTTCCCCATTCGTTCAGTCTAAAATATGTTAAACAGATTATTTTCAAATTGTAACGGACCTACTTGTCTAGCTGTCTAGACTAGGCAAAGTGGCCGTCGATAAGGCTAAAATAGACGGATCCCCACGGGAAAACGGTTGGCTAGGCCGTTGTCTACGTCTAATTGGCCTTAAAGTCTCCCTTATTAACTTAATATATCGCCCGAGGAGCTAGAACGGGCGGTCACACTGTTAAATAATCTAACTCTCAGCTGCAGGCTACAAGATGTTTTATACTAAATTAGGGTTTCTAAATAAAATACAAAATTATACAATATATATATATATATATATATACACTCTGACCTGGGTTGGACGATGAAATGGTTGGTCAAAGCGGAGTTGAAACGGACGCACACAAAAGATAGTCGGATGGGCGGCTTGTAGTAAAACGGCAAAAATATAGAGCGCAAGGTCGAGGATATTGGCGGTCCGTGATGGTAAAGTCAACTGGTTAATTAGATGATACGCGACGTGCATTGTCCTGTGTGTGCGACCGTTCCCCTACCTATAGTCGGGGGTGCTGTGTCAGTAGGTTTGGAACGCGAAGTAACGGTCAGGTGAAATATGATCGTTACAAAATAAAAATAAAATTTAACTAGAAAATATATGTTATGAATCGACGCAGATTTGCCACGGTCATGTGCGACCGTGAATTTCTTTATAATATGTGTTGGTAAAAACGATACAAAATTTAAATTTTCAATTAAGATCCTGTTTTGTTTATTGTTGATTTTAAAAACTGCTCGAGTTGTTGTTGTAAATTATGTTGTGCGTTCATTTTCTAAAAAAATAATCTTATGTACACCTTGTTATGTATTCTCGCGTAATTAATCATCAGACTTTGTTTTGTTTTAACTTTTTAAACGAAAACAAAAAAAAACCCGTCGGTGCTCTCTAGCTGTCCAATTAATGCCCAAGTTGAGAAAAGATTAATTATAACTCTCATTTTCTGTTTTTTTTTTTTTTAAGTACAAAAATTCTTATTATACTTACCTACCTACCTTTTCTTCGAGTCCTTTCACCGCTATTGTTGTTTGGTCCTTATTCTACCTACTCATTTTTTACTTTCAAGTATAATAACACGCTGTACCATGAGCACTATGACGGTGTACTTAAGTAATATTATATCACACACATATTTATGTATGTATGTAAGGTAGCGCAATACACTGGAGACACAAAATAATAATATAATCAAAAACGTACTTAGCAACGAAACTAAAAAATTACCCAAACACAATATTTTCGTTTTTTAGGGTCGGAATCATTATCATTTGTATTTTGTTAATGTTCACTGTGGCGAACGGTACCACAAAAAAAGACCTTTGCTATTGTTACTTATTTAAAATTCACACTGTTAACAAACAGGACTGGAAAGGGAACCGACTGTGAGCCAAAGTCCGAGTTTTTAATTATTTTTACAATATCAAAAGATACACCTTATTAATAATAATATTATAGATTACCATCACAAGGCTGATATTATTAGTTTATTATATATTTTTTTCTATTGAAGGAAAGACATTTAATCATAAAATGTCACTTTCTGGTAATCATTTTTTTTTTTTTTTTTACATAAATTATCGTTTACTTTTTAGAATTTTAACAATAAAATATGTTAATTGTTAATTCAATAAGGGTTTATCTTCTCTTAATAAACTCTTATCGTAGGCCCTATTAAACATCTAAAGTTTTTTTTAAGTTCTATAAATAGGAAAATCTAATTTCGTTTATTATATTTAGTGTCCGTGTGTTGAACACTTAAAAGCTAAAATTAAAGTATAAGTATTAGCATTGGGACAGAAAAAAATAGACGATATTATTTTAAAATCTTGAAAAATGCAATATTAATAACAAAAAATTTCAAATAAAAATATAGTAAGATCGATTTTTTTTTAACAATGCTGAACTAAAATAAATGAAATTTAAGTTCTTAACATTTTTCTTATTTTGTAGACTTATTTAGGTTTTTTTTCAGAAAACATTTTGAATTTAAACACAAATTTATAAGCTGTATTTAAAATGAGTAATTTTTATAGGTATAGCTAAAATAGCAAATTTTGTTACACTTAAAATTGCTGTGTCCCCTTTAACGAGTTTGATGTGACATATTATAACAGCTTCTAGTAATGAAAATTTCCAAATTTGTTTTACTCATTTATTTAAAAAAGTCATACAATACAACAAGGTAACCCATAATACCAATTTAAGTTGATACTTCAGTTTCCATTTTAGACCCAGCTTCTGTAGTTTTTTGCCTAAAAAAAAATTAGTCTTAGAACATGAAATAAATAAAATAGAATACACTATTTAATTAATAAAAATTAATAATATACATACTTCGAATTTCCTTTAGTTCCTGGTCCCCAATAAGGTGCAGGATTTTGTTGATACCTGACTAAACCCTGCAATGACTTAGGCACTATATTGTAATTCCGATCAAAAACAATTTCCGCTGTAGGTTCTTTTTCCAAGATTATCCTGGCTGCAACGGAATCCTGCAACCTTTTTTCAGAAACTGGATGTGTTTTCACCCAAGTCCTTACTACGTCCCACACAACGGTCTGAGGAGCATCGGTCTTGACACTATTCGGTGCACAATGGGACGATGAAACTCGGTAGCCGGCATTTACTAAAGCTGAACTGAAAACAGAAATTTATCGACAAACTCACTTAATAAAATAAATATACTTTTTTTTATTGTATTAAACGTAAGTCAGAGTTGTATTTTATTAGTGACAGATTTGAATTCCAAAAATAATTAAACTTGGCATTTAGTCACCGCCGATCGAGCAAGTTTTTCCCTTATGTCAAAATTACAATTTATCAAGACAAAGTTTTTTTTATTTACTACAAAAAATCATTATTAAATATCAATTACATTGAATTTTTTTTTTTCTAATGAAAAATAAAATATTAATTGTACTCATCTCATTTATGAACTGTGATGAAAACATTTGTTTTTAGTGTCCAAATTCTAAAAAAGAGTTTTATCAATTTTAAAAATGTCCTTCTATATGTTCCACTCAATTTAAATATATTTTAAGACGGCGGCAACATTAAAAATGTCTAAATCAACCCATGGTCAAAACTCGATTAAAAACGTAAAACCATATACATACAAAAAATATCTCAAAGGCATTGCTTCACAATGAACAGTGTTGGTCAATGATGGAACCGTGTAGTACAACGGTATATCGAGCAATTCTTCTTGCATCATGGTTAACATTCCCCTCAGTCGTTTGACAGTGGTAAACTTTTTATCGGCCTTTTCGTCTCTTATGAGATTACATAGTTTATTGAGAAACTCAATGTTATACAATGGTCCATTCCAGATAGGTCCTCCAACCTAATAAAAACAAAAACAATTAAGTTACAAATTAATAACGTACCAAATAGTCCGTTCGGATATTATTAATAATAATAATAATTTTTTGCTTTAGTAATTACCAGATGTGGGAATCCACAGTGTTCGCATTTTTTATTAACAGGTGGTCCAGAATTAAGAGTAAATTTTGTATTTTTAGTATCGGATTTAGCTGAACCCAACGGCAGCAGAGTGGTCATATTACAACCTCGACATTTGTAGACAGATGAAATTTTGCTGAGAAAAACAAACAACAACAATCAATAACTACATTATTAGCGTGAATATTAAAAAAATAACATTAAATGGTATTATTAGGATGTCCTCTGCACATAATCCCCATAATACAATGTTACAACATAGTTAGTATAGTTAATATAATAGTATTTAATAATCAAATTGCAGACACAGCAGGAGAACGCGATACGAGCAACATCGAACCACAGCCCTGAAGATGGAACGTGCAAGTATACCGAAACGTTGGCAAACTAGTCAAGACATTCAAGTGGGAGTAACCTCAAGTCATGTAAATAGTGTAAATATAATACCCAACTCAAGTTTCAATAATTTTTTATAAATTATAAATTATTTTTTTAAGATTTATTATAATAATCGTTTATACAAACTTAATACATTTTTGAGTCATATGTGTGATAGATTACCTAGACATAGTTTTGCACATAAAAGGACTTGTCCGTATGACTACGAAAACTCTTATATAAAAATCAGCACTTATTGATAATAATGGTTCCATGTAACGACCATATTTCGTACAAACATTTGTAATCGTATGTAAAACTATTCGAAGAGCCTGAAAAATTGAACTATACATTAGAACTTAAAAATTAATAGTTTTTAAACCTAAAAGTAAATAATCTTACCATTTCGTGACAAGCGGGTGACCGTAAAGATATTGAACCGTACTTGGCGTAACACGATTCTGGTGTGTTGCCGGCTAAAACAGCCATGTCTGTGCACGTAACTAATAATAAACCATTATCGGCTAGACAAGAAATAGCCGAATCCAAAAGGTTCGTAGGGCATCCATATGGATCCAAATCAACAACATCAAATTTTGTTTCCGATTCAAATTGTCTTTTTCTCATAACATGCCTGATTAAAAGTTGTACAAAATTATTATTATATTACGTTTAAAATTTCAACACCTTCACTAAAAACTGAATTCAGTATCCAAAAAACATTTCTTTTATTGTACGTTAACAATGAAAACAATGATTTTTTTTTCTTTCAGGAATACGATTGTAATTTATTTTCATACATTTTTCACATTTATTAAGTTTAGTTACAATACATACGCTGCATCATACTGAGTTGATGTTACTAAATGTTGAACATTATTTTCATCGATATTTTTATTCATAATGTCTACAGCTGTTTTTGATATATCATTAGCGTAAATTTGTTTAATTCCAGGTACTTCAAGTGCGTATCTTATCGCTCGTAAGCCTGTGGCAGCCATGGCTTCTAGAATTTCTAAACCCGCCTAAAAATTAGCATACTTTACATTCAAGTATAGATTTGGATTTAGAGCTTTTTTATTAAAAAAAAAAATCAATACTTTGTTTATATTATAAAAATGCATATTGAAGACATACCTCGATTTGAGTTCCTATTTCTAAAGTTATAGGTTCATTTTGTGATATGTTATTTTCATTAAACGACCTGTGCCTTTTTCTGCTTTTCTGTTTTTCTCCATATCTAATTTCAGAAAAAACAGATAGAACAGCAATACTGGAAAAAAATCAACGTACACAGTTATTCTACAAGTATAATAATTTTTGGTTGGTTACTTAGGTAGGTAACATAGGTAGTACAAAATAATTTGGATTATACTTAAGTATTATATTATAACTTATTTAACATATTCTATAGTTAACACCCAATACATTTAAATATATAAAGTAATTTTATAAATTGTATTTTTACCTTAAATCTCGATTAAATTCTTGTACTGGATTATAGAACACTTTGCTAGTATTCGGCACACGTATTTTTGCTTTACCTTCACGTATTTCAGTGAAATCTGACGTAGACTCCATATCGAGACGACAACGTCTTAAATTATTATAATACAACCTGTTATCTATTGGTTATCAAAAAACAAGTTTTTTAAATTTAAACATAAATTAAACAAATAAAATAGGTAACTCAGGAAGGTATATACTATTATTTGTTACTTACTTACTAAACTAAAGACCAAAAAAATTGTATTTTATTCTAAATAATTGTAGTTAATTTTCATTTTGAATAAATTTTTACTGAAACAACAAATTTAAATCTTTGAATTATGGTTGTTTTTAAATTTCTACTTTCAAGTTTCAACTCCAACAACAATAATAATTGGTATCGTATCATGAATCCTGATTAGACCATAACAGTATGAAGTTCGATACGAACTAAGTGCCCAAGTCCTAGCACTGTGATATTAGTGGAAGATAATATATTGAGGTTAAGTTCACCGGTTTTTATAATATTATCTTAAGCTGTAAACGGTAAACCTTATCTCTATGCACGGACAAGAACACTAATGGAAATTGTAATGTTTTAATTGTCATTAACAAAATATCGACATTACATTCATAGTACACTGCGCAATAAATTATATTTATTTATTTTTTCATTTAAAGTAAAGTTGTTTAAATATACATCTTATTAAAGTTTGATAATGTTCCCTGGCTTACGTACCGTCTCACGTTAAGTATGGCTCAGTTTTTACACCGCGGAGCTAGACTGTGCAGTCCGATACTGTGGAAGTCGTTGTGTTCTAAATGTGAGCTTAACGCTTTCAAGAAGTCGCCTCGATTGCAGCCAACGATCACATCAACTTTCAAATTATACAGTGTTCAAACGGAAAACAAAATTATTCACACTTCAGATTCAGTGAAGCAACCTGATCCAATCGATTTGTTCGGTGAAAACAAAGATGAAAGACAAAAGGAAAAGGAAAAAGCTATAAAAAATTTAAAGATTGGTTTTTTTGTTATTGGCGCATCAATGGTTTTGATACTTGGTTCCGGCTTGTACGTTCTAGTGTCCGAGGACGATAGTAACAAAACGGATGAAGATGATCATAGTATTTATCCTGTAAAATTGTATAAACGCGGACGTTTAGCTATTAGTAACTTTTTCGAATCGATGAGAGCACCTTCTTACGAAAAATTGCTTCCAGATCCCTTGGCTTTTCCATATATTCAACCACCTTACACTTTACTCATCGAAATGAATGATTTATTAATTCATCCAGAATGGACATACTCGACTGGTTGGAGGTTCAAAAAGAGACCTAATGTCGACTATTTTCTAGATCAAGTAGGTCAGAATTATGAAGTAGTTGTGTTTACGTCTTCTAATGGTTATAATGTGTATCCCATTTTGGATAATTTAGACAAGAATGGAGTGATAATGTATAGACTTGTTAAAAACGCAACAGACTATATAGAAGGACATCATGTAAAAAATTTAGAGCGCATTAATCGTGACCTTTCTAAGGTAATTATGGTTGATTGTGATGAAAAATCTGTAAAACTACAAAGGAACAATGCATTAGTCATTCCAAAATGGACAGGTGATGACAACGATCACCAACTTGTTCAGCTGGCAGAATTTTTGAACGTGATATCAGCTAGTGAAGTAATCGATGTGCGGGAAGTTTTGTCATATTATAAACAGTTTGAAAATCCACTAGAAACTTTTAAAGAAAATCAAAGGAAACTTTTGGAACTACAAGAAGAGCAAAAACAGCTGTCTGAAAAATTGCCAGTTAAAAAAACCAGTGACAGATTAAAACAACAATTTTTATATGGAAAATAGAAATTCTTATGAATAGTGTAATTAATTTTTTTTATTACTAAAGGGCAATTGTTTGCTTTTTTAATTATTTCAAAACTAATTATCTTTTTCTGTACGAATAAAAGGTTTTGATTCTATTGTGTATTTATTTTGTACTGTCATTGTATTTAAGTGCCCGATTGATCCATTTGTTATATATTATAGGTAATAGACATGTGGGTCTTGTTCCTTATACTAGAGGTGCAACCAAAGGTGATTGGGATAAAATATTGACTCGGGTAATTAAATATTTTAGCTTGCAATAACTTAAAAAATAAACTTTGCCCTCTTTTTGTTAGAACGCCTAGCAATGATAGATTTTTTCATTTGTTCAATCACCCTCACGGTCTAGGTCCAAGTACACCATAGAAAAAAAATTGTTTATAATTCGGTTGCACAGCGGGATAAATTATAATGCGTAATAATGCAATCATATATTATACCTTAATTATTTAATCATTAGTCGTTCACAAATCACATACATATTATATTATAATTAAGTGTGTAGGTATACAAATTTTAGTATATATAATATTTGTAGTTGTTCATAGTCGTTAGTATGAAGTCATACCAATAGAATGCGCTGTTTGCACCTCTGTCTGCCATGAATATTTTTCCATGACATTTTCCTATTAAATATAATTGTTTTTATTCTGCACTAATTATTATAGTATTTAATAATACTAAAATGCTTTTACGAATCAATGCGCAATTTTAAAATTTTGTTAATTTGTTTTATGTTTAATACAATAATACCTAATAAATTTAAACGATCAACGCGATGATTTTTTCACATTTTCTGCCATAATAACAAGCTTGTTGTGTTAGTACTTACACAGAGTAGATAAAAAATAATATTGTTTTACCTTATCTTGTGGTATTTATCAAATGAACGTTTTGATGAGGGCTTAGTGTTGTTTACATATTTACTTGTAACTGGCAATTCGGTTAGTAAATTTTACAATTTTTTGTGGCATAAAATATTTTAAGAGATAGTTTGATTAATTTAGTGTATGATTATTAATTAGTTTTCAAAATGGACATCGACGCCGATCCTGAACTAAAATCAGATTTCACATCCTACTTAGAACATATATCCCAAAGAAAAGTAAGTTCATCATAATACAATGCATAAAATGTTTGTTTAATTATTATTTATTTATATTTTTAAAATAATATAATTGTTACGCTTTGCAGAAATTTAGGAGGAATACGACACTAACTGAGCACAGTTACTCAACAATTGAATATCAACAAGACCATTTGTGTTCTGCAATAAAAACTTTATTTATTCATAATAAATTTTTACAAAAGTTAGTGTTGAGAGTGTTTTTTTTAAGATTCTTACCATAACTATTGCTATGCTTTCTACTAATGTTGTCAATATTCATTGTTTAGTGAAAATCCCACCGATGATATTGATGTAGAATCTGTTGACAAAGAAGTAAAACTACTTACATATCGACCAGATGTCGAAGCAAAATCAATGGAACCCTACAGAAATGCTAAAGTTCCAAGAGACTCTGAGACATGGGAGGATTCTATAAACAAGTTAGTAATATTTACTACTATAATATACTTTACGGCCCGCTCTTAAAAATTATCAAATATTGATAGTTTTTGTATTGTTGTTGTTTTTATTTTAAAAGTTAAAAACTATTACGTCAAAGAATGTTAACAGACAATTAATTTTTTTTTTAATTATAATAATACCTAGGTTATGTGTTTTTTTAGTTAATACATTTCTTTTACTGTAAAATTTATATCGCAATTTAAATAACAATTATTTTGCAATATTTGCATCCAGAGTTGTTAGTGAATGTGTATTATGTAATAACTCAACATATTAGGAAGCGTGTAACAATTGCGTTTTAACATCCCGATAGCGATTATGTTTTTGATAGATTGATTTTTCTCTTCTTTTATTTGATAGGATATTATTTTTCTGTATTTAATACTACTACTATAATGGCCTTTCACTTGCACAATTTTGTTTAAAATCTCTGCATACTAGCAATTTTTAATTATTAGTATTTATTAGACTTGTAAATTTTCCCTCCAAAATTATTTACAAAAATATTGTATAAGAATGATCAACAAAATAAGAATAAAAGTGGCATAATATGGTGAAATTGAACCTGAAGTTAGAATGCTTATGTTGCTCCTTAAATTTTAAATTTGTCGATAAATTACAATTTTTAATGGTGGCATGTATATTGTCCCTACCACTTGTTCTTATGGGCGGTGTTTACTAGTTTTTTCTCTTATCACTTTAAAAAATTCTAAAACAAACAAGAATAGAGACTTCTTTAACTGATAAAATATATTTTATTATCAAAACCTTGATTTTTAAAAAAAAAATTTCAGTTTTACATTTTTAGTTCTTACTTACCAATTCATGTATAAGTTTGTAATTATTGTCCATAAAAAAACTACAGACTAGTTATTACTCAAGTTATATATTATATATAAAATGATTATTTTCTTTTACAGATTACGATGGACAAAAATGCAAAAAAATTTATTTGAGAGAACAATGAACATTTTGTATGCCAATCGTTTATCAAGGTTGACATATGAAGGAACTATGCAAGAAGATGTGCAAAAAATAATATCTACTGAAAAATCGGTGGCCGAAATGCATCATTTATTGACTAATTACACTTATTGGGATCCATCGTTGACCCAGTGGCTGCATGGTGTTTTTGTGACACATTTACCCGATGATTATTTAGCGCCATACATTGATATTTTAGAGGTATTGTATTAAAAGTGTTTTTATTTATGAAAAATATCAGTAAAGAAATCAAAATATTTTATAAGAGCATTTTGTTATAATTTTAATGTAAAATGATTAACTAAATTGTTGTTATTATACTTCAGAAATTAAAAAAAATTGTTCCATCATTTATAAGCGATATGATATCATTGAACACACAAGGGCGGTCTAAAGATGATGTCAAATATAAATCTATAAATTTAGATGATCCAGTTGATCCGTTTAATTATATGTTAACTACTTATCCACCAGTAAGGAAAAAAATACTTAATAAATTAATTGCTTATTATTTACATAATATTACTACTAAATTAGTTTTTATTTTTTTATAGTTAAAACTGCCTAAAGATCCTGTAATAATTTTGATACCAGATTTTCCTGGTTATTTAATTCAACCATACACACGGAGTCACGATTGGATGCATGCCTTATCATATTTAGCTGAATTGGTTGTCGCTCTAACTGCAAAAGGTAAATATATTTTGTTAATACTTGTTGTCCGATTGTAATAGTTTATTGATTCATACTAGAACAGTGGGATTACGAAGATTATTCACGACGAGAAGAAATCAATATTGAAGCTAGTTTAGATAACATGATAGATGCAACTCGAAGTAAAATTGTGTCACTAAGATCTGAAGATCCAAATAGGCCTATAATTTTGGCCGGTTTTGGGGTCAGCGCCGCAATAGCTTGTCAAGTAAGAAAATGTATTCCCTGAACTGTACATAAAAATATAGTTCAATCATCAAAAGCTTATGCATATAATGTTAAATATTTAAATGTTCAGTGAACGGATAGGATATCTTTATATTTCTCATGACTAAAAGTTCATGAACAAAACAAATTGTTTACAGTTAATGAAACCCTAATTATAATACATTAATATTTAACATTTACAGATATAACGATTTAATTATTTTCATAAATAATTTCAGGTCGCTGTTCTTGAAAAAGTAGAAGGTCTCGTTTGTATTGGTTTCATTGTAAACTCGTCCGAAGTCAAAAGAGGATATGATGGTGACTGTATACTTGAACTTGAATATCCTACTGTTTTTATTACTGGACAACTAAGCATATTTTCTCCGTATGTTATTTATTTTTTTATTTAGTTGAATGTATAAATAACTATTTTGATTTTAATTTAATTTAGAGTTTTGGACTTGGAGGAATTAAGAGTTAAGCTTAAATGCAAAACCAATCATATTCTAGTCGGTGGCGCAGATGATGATTTGGTTGTCAATCATTCTACAAAAATGAGAGAAGGTGTAACACAAAAATTAGTTGATAGATGTGTTTTAGTAAGTTGACAACTAACATAAAATTTGAAAAAACTCAAATTTTTTCATTTATGTTTCTGTAAATATTACACATAATCACTATTTTTAATTTTATTTTTAAACCTGTCACAGGAAGAAATTGGAAATTTTTTGAAAGAAGTATTGGAACCATCACCAAAAATTGTTCGTAAACCAGAAATAGAAAAAACCGATTTCAAAAAACCTATAGTAGCCAAAAAGAAATCTTACGGTAAGATAATGTTTTTTTTTTTAAATTATTTATTATCAATATTTGATTGAAATAAAATGTGTGTAGTCTTTTTTATTTTATATATATATTAATAATAATAATATTTATACGCATTTGGTTTTAAGTTAATACTCAGATGTTCTATTAGTTATTAAGTATATTTCCAATATTTTAGTAACAGTTTTAATAAATATTAGGTCGTTCAAATAAGGGAAATCAAAAGCTTTTGTTAAAAGTCAATGACCACCCTACAAAGAAAAACGTTACTTCGCGCAAGATTAATATACCATCGACTTCATTGACTTCAACGACGATTGATATGACAAAAGACGAAGAACTAATGCCACCTCCATCATCTACTGTCATGCATGATCACGGTATGCATTTTGAAAATTCTACAATGATAAATAATCGTAAGTCAGTTTTTTACTTCTTAGTATACAATCATGGAAATGATGTTTAAAATGTTTTTCAATATTATTTAGAAACGGACGTATCGTCTATTCCAAAATTAGGGAATCAAAAATTTTCTACCTTGGCGGAGTTGTTGCAGGAACAATGTAACACCAACAATAGCATATCCCAAATTAATGGTATATATTTTAAAGAACATTAGATTTGTTGGTTAATACTTTTATCGGTTAAACTATACAATTGATTTTTAGATTCGTCGTTAATACCTATGAGTAGAACGCCCATAATAATGGCTCCCGACTCGAAAAGTATAGTAGTATGTAGTTCAAGCTATCAATCCCAGCAGAGTCAACCCACTCCTGTTATGGAAATCACAGCTGACCAGATACTCGATATGCCGATTGTGTTTGCTGATGAAGCAATTGAAGAAACGAAAACGGCACCTGTCAACGATAGTAGTTCCTATATTATAACCAACACTAACAGCAACCAGCTGATTGTTAAAGAGGAACCCATTGATGATGATGAAGATGTGGATGTAATGTCTTCTAGTCCGGTGTCCAAGAATAACACAGTTCCTGAACGTTTAAATATAAAACAGGTATAAAAATTAGTATTTAGTAGTTTAGACTAGATTTTGTCGTATATTGTAACCCATTATATTTTTATAAACAAATTTTATTAATAACATTTATTTTTCTCCTAAATTATAGGTAGCATATGATTCACCATCAAAAGTTAAGCTTGTAGTGAGTAAAGCACCTCGAACTTTAGTACCGAGCGGTTACCAAACATTTTCTGTACCCAGTCAAAAAACGGGTAGTATACAATTTGTGAATCGGTTATCACCTATGCCGTCGAGGAGAGTCGAAGGAGCAGCGGGAACAAAGATAGCGCCAAAAACAGTTTCTATCCGTCATTTACAAGATAGTAACCTTAAAGTGCTAAAAAGTAACAGCGGACAACACGTACAAGTAAACAAAATGAAAACAATGGCGACCACGCAAAAGTTTAAAAAAATATTATAGAATTTAAAAAATTAAAATTTGAGTATTAATAACAATTATTATTAAATAGTATCATTTAAAAAATGATATTTTTTACATCATACAGCTAATAAAAAAATATATATAATAGTATGTACTTTTAATTGTTAAATAGTTATCTATGTAAGTACATTTTCGCCATATTATTTCTTATATTTTGTGATTTAAATATTGGAACAACTTTATTCAAACATAACACCTTACTGTCCTTTGTTCTTCTTAATCTAACCATATGTAACTTAGTCCACATGAAAAACGGTCGTCTTAGAGCTTTAATAACATGATTTACACAACAACGCCACCATCTAACGACCAAACGTGTTTTATCATATGGTCTGATAAAACGTGGGCATCGCAATGTGTTGGCGACGCAACGCTGTGCAAAAGAATGAGTGGGAACCAATGCGTGCATTTGTTCAAACTTCAATGTTTTCCTGTTATTGAAGATAAAAATAAAAATAACAATTTGCAAACACATACATCGTATTATAATTAATGTACCTCGGTTCATCGCTGTTGGTTAGAGACATCATAATAGGACTGACAGTTTTGTTCTTTCGCCCTTTAACGGGCTTGCCAAATAAGCCTCTTCTCTCGGCCATACGTATCAAATGATTAGCGTCGAAAGTCATTAGTTCCTAAAAGTAAAACCTAACTTAATAATACACATAAAAGTAAATCATTGAATTGATTATTATTGTAAATAAATGTTTTTAGTAGTTATATAATAATATAATCTCACCACTCTCTTGACAGCAGCCAAGTAAATGCTTCCTGTGACTTGACTCTCCTCCATGGTTTCTAGTTTCTTATTTGGGTATAATATCAAAGTTTCAAACCGGTCGACGTCTGGAATCTATAAACGGCATGGTTGTTACCGTCAGATTTCATTAAGTTCTACACAACTAGTTTATAGTGTAATATAAACCTCGACTGGTTGGAATACGGTTGGGCGCCAAGGAGTTTCCACAGATGTGTTGAACATCTCTTCCGGTTTTATCGTGGAATAGTTTTCTGAATTGTGTTTTTCATAAGCCCAACCGTTCATCTCGTCCACCACCGATTTGACCATGCCGCCGTTTTCCAGCTCCAGTCGAGAATGTGTCTCGTACACTACGATTTGTACCTGCCAACAACAATAGGTATTAGGGTATATTGCCAGGCTGGCTGGCATACACTACATAAACCATTATTCATCATATATTTAAATTTGTAGCTAGTCTAGCTATTATTTGGACCATTCAGTAAAAACATGCAAATACAAGAACGTCCAGGCGCTGGGCTTTGGTACTTAGAACTAAACAGATATGAGACCTGAGGTTTAGACATGGTCATCCTCAGGGTGTCTCTTTGCTCCGACATACAAGGTATGTCTTCAGACTCTTCTGTGTAGTCCACCGAGGCCACGGCTTTCAGCAGCGTCAAGTCGCCACCCTTCGAACACACCAACTGTACAGGATCCGTGACCTAAAAATGGATCAGATTAGTTGAAAATGAGCTATATTTGCCCGAAAGCTCTTATTTATAATTTATTGCAAACATATTTATTAATGCTACCTAATCTCCTAAATAAACAAATTCTATTCTTAAATCAAATAATATGTTTTACCAAATGGGACAATTATTACACATTAAAAAAATAAATTGTTATTGATCGAGTTTTTCTCTCCAGAACGTTTTCGGAACAAAATAATGTGTTATTCACTTTTTTTAATATGTAAAATAATTAGAAAAACAATGATTTTTTATCAACATTGTTTAACCAACAATATAATTACAATGGTGTTATTACAAAATTATTAATTTCTTTACCATAATTAGATCATTATTTTAAACATTATGTTTAGTTAGCTAGCCCAAGCGATTTCTTAGTTTTGTTTTCTTCTTATTGCAAGTTTACTAGACCAAGTATGCGCATTTGTAGTCGCCATCCCAGTTTTTTGGAAAATATTATACCTATATATTACTTAGGACTTGGATATTATAATTTTTACACACTTCTTTATAAGTACAGTTTGTTACGTGCGTATTACTATTACATCGTATAGGTTATGGTTATTGTCAATAGTAAATAATCATCTTATACCTGTAAAATAATTATGAGTACATATGCTTGCATATATATATATTATGTATACCTACTTAAAAGTTAAAACACAATTGTGCAATCTATAAAGAGCGTTTAGAGTACTTTTTCTAATATACATAAATTATAATATGCATCACACATCTATAATGAGTAGTATAGGCGTATATTAGCATTGATTTTGAAATAAATGTTATTAAGTATTCCGTGTACACTGTACAGTTACATATTATTATTTATTATGATGGACAAAGTTGTGTAAACGTTATTTCAATAGTCTTTTTTTACAACTAATTTCAATAAAAAGTTGTTCAAATAATATTTTCATACATTATTTAAAATTAAAACTAAACACTACACTTTATCTAGATTTAGATTCAAGCGAATTTTTATTAAAAATAAATAGGAAACTAATTATAATATTAGCTTGATTATTATAAATAATAATTTATATACAAATAATTTTCGTTTCGATAATAATATTATTAAAATTGACCAATTACTATATGTATATTAATTAAATATTAAAGAGTGTCAATACACACGTTATATATTGTCTCGAAGATAATATATAATTATTAAATTATTTTTGTGCAATACCCTTTTGCAATAATAATAGTTCTATTATCAGTTGTTACCTAATATAATATTTTTAGCGGCTAATTTGAATTTGTGTGTTTGTTTTTAATTATATTCGATAAACTTTTATTAAAAAAGGATGAAGTGTGGGTAGGTATTAAAATTATTGAACGATTGTCAATATGTTGCAAGAGGACTGCTAGTTTTAGCATTAAAACTATTTTAAATACTAAGTACATTATGTCATAATGAATAATTATTCGTTTACCTTTTTAACGTTATAAAACATAATTTACACAAAATGTTCGATAAATTTAGATAAGAGAGTTGTAGAAAGCTACTCTACTATTTTTATAGATATATTTTGACACATATATATATATATATAAATATATATATTGTTTTATCAATCTTCAACTCATTTTTGTTGAGTGAACTGTGAACGAAATTTGACAATAGGTAAAAATACAAAACACAGTACTCCGAATTGAGACTTATGGATTTTTAATCTTTGTTTTCTATTTAAGCGTTAATGCGTTTATTATGTATTTAAAAATTGTTTTAACATTTTATAAGCGTAGCTCTATCCTTTTACTTATCAAGTAAAAACCCTCTCCTTATACATACGCATTTAAGGTAAAACTAAATTATATTAATAGACGGGTACTTTAATTCTGTTTAGTAGGTATCTAGAAATGCAGACTATTTTAAATACGACTTAAACATATATATGATTTATACTACGAAACAAAATAGGTTTATTTAGCACTTGTTATTTGTATCATATTTTTTACAATACTTTATATTATCTTTAAAATACTTTATATATTAATTTGCTGTTTACACATACAGATAACGCGGTGTTAATAATAAATTTAATAATTTCTCAACGATAAACGCCAAGTTATCATACCTATTATCATTAGTATTTAGTCGCAATGCTTGAAATGATTTCTATGAACTTTTTTTCGAATTACCCCTTCATAACTAATTAGAGTTTTAGTTTATATCATAATTATTATACTCATAGTATGTACAATGAATAAAACATGTACTTGTATGAAATCAACCTATACAATTAAGTTTGACATCTTAATCTCTTTATTTGAAGTGTTTATTGTAATTATACAATCGATAAACGTAAATATTTGTTTGTTTGAGATCTTGGATAATTTTTATCACAGAAAGGTTAAAAACATTGGCGCAATAAGAGTACTCGATTCTTCGTCCTACTCCCTCCCTCCCAGCAATTTTCCACCATTTCTACAATACAAACATTAATACATGAAATTAAGTACCTAGTTTTTGTTTTTTATAATAGTAGGAATTATATAATTACAATTTTATTTAGATTGCATTCGATCGTCTCAGTTAACCGAGCAAAAGTGTAACTTATGATACACACCCATAAAAACGCGATTATTCTGCGACAAATCGGTACCCAACTCGGTGGGTATTGAGGAAAAACTATTACCTATGTTTTTGGGAGATTTTTTTTTTAATCGATAATATTTGTGGCTAAGCTATTAAAATATACAGTATGCATTATCTCTTACGCCAGTGTTAGTGTTGGGCGGAGTAGCCAATATAGCGACGATGTCCAACAGCAAAGGATTTTCTGTGGACGATTGCAAGAAATCTTTGGTCAACAGCTTGCAATTTTGCACGCCCAATTTAACAAAATAACTATAGTAGTCCGTTTTCCTTTTTTAAATGAAAAACACTATATTAATAGTATGTTTTTTTTGTTCAAATTAGCAGACACTATAATAGGTGTTATGTTTTATTGTAAACACAGCTGTTAGAGTTCTATAATGCTAGAGTTCTACTAATTACCTTTCGGCGGCTCCAAAAACGATTAACGACTGTCTCCGTTTGAACAACAATGACGCCAAGTAAGCCACAGCGCTTTGGATGGTAAAATGCGTTTGAGCTACATTTCCACACAGCTTATGAGCACTCATCGTTCGGTCCAACATAGCAGGCCCCAGACAATATCTTCGTTCCTGTATAAAATTTGAATAAATTCAATTTATTTAACAAGTTAGTTGCATGATGCAACTTGAATCAGAGCAGAGTCTACCGAAAACGACAGAATATTGTTGGCCGGTGTTGCATAGCCGAGAGCACACAAAAAATTAGTTAATTAGTTAAATACAAATTATAATAAAAACACATCATGTTAAAATGTTTTAACTTGTACAAACAATAAATCTCTTGACGATTTTATGTTTTTAAAGATATACACATTTTTATAATATAATGCATTTTACTACAGATAATTTGCCACATTTAAAACTAGGTTGTCAGTAGAGCTGAGTCAGTTAAATCAGATTTACGATTGATTTGTAAAGTGTGATCGTCATTAATGAATAAATCGCTTAGTGAATTATAATCACTGATCACAGTTATAAAATTCAGTGTTTAAATATTATTGTTTTTAAGTTGGTCGATTAGCTGTTATTCTCCCTTAGAAACGTTATTTATTTATGCATATGACATTTTTCGGCATTATAATTATAGAAACGTTGAGGTAGGTCTGTGTAGGTGGTAACACATTTAAGTATCAATATACTTAATAATACATATTTATTACTCATCGTATAGCAATATTTTTACATTCACGAATTTTCGTCTTCTAACAAAATATATTTTAATCACTTGACATACATTTAATTTTTAGCTACATAGATTATAGTCTATAACGCATAAAGTTATTATATAGGTTATATTTATACCACAATATAGGTTGAGGTATATCTGAAATATTTATAGTTATAGATATTTATAATTATTCTTGAAGGCATGTGAATCCCCGACCGCACTGTTCAAGGGCACAGGAAGGGGCGAAGAGTCATCAATAATAACACAATTATTATAAAATCTTTTAGGTAACGATCATCAGAGGTTATTGACTGCCTTGTGGATTCAATACGGGTTGAAAATTAGTATTTAAATGCAAACGAATGAACACCGTTATTTCCCCACAAACGACGGTGTTCAATGTTCATTCATTTTCATTCAAACCCGTCTACCGATAACTATTTTCTTTTTAATCCATTCAACTGCGAGTTCAGAGTTGAGATAAGTGGTAAATACTTATCTTGCAGACGCAGTTACAGCAATTAAGCTAATCTAATATCTAATAAAACTGATAATGCTCATAACTATCTGTCTTGGTGGTACAATACAAAAACATGGGCTGCTAAAAATGATTATTTAATCAAGTTTCCAGAGTATCGAAACTATATTGTGCACTATACTCAGGGCATAATTTGTGTGTGGGGGGGGGGGAGGGCAGACTTAGGCATTATATTTCTTTTACTTTTTTAGAGCCGATATGAAATTTTCGTGTAAATGTAGACAAAGGCTATTACGTTCAATTATTTTAATTAATTTAAACCAAAATAAAAATACAAAATTATCGTAATTATTATATCTTACAACATTTTTTTATTTTATTTTCTCTTAATTTCCATATACTTGTATTCTTGTAGGTTCAAGTACAGACTTGTTTCATTGCTGGCCTACTATTGCGTAACAAAGGAAATTGACGCTAATATAGATTACATTTACTCTTTTCTTTTTAACATTTTTAAGCCACTTAATTTATCAATACATTTTAAGTTTTGAACATTAATACATTTATATATATATATATATAAATAACATAAAGAAAATTAAAAAACTAAAATATTTATTGAAAAAAAAATTACGTTTAATAACTTTTATTGCATAATATATTATTAAATTATTATTATTATTATTTGATAAGCAACAATTTAATAATTTAAAAATGATTATTTTATTATATATGCACAAAAAATATGCGATATGCAGTTGCATATGCAAAAACATATTTTATGCAAATTTCATAAAATATGCACAAACAAATTATGGTATAATAAAGGACCCATGAAATACATGCAATTTCATATAAATCCGCGGTCTATATATAACATGAAGGTTACCCAGTGGGCCGTTTTAGGTGGGTGTCTTCTAGGGCCGGATCTGTCATCCTAAAACTATACCTACGTTTGAATGTGTGCCAAGAAATAGTTTGTGGTTGTGATTTATCATTAACATGGGCCTATAGAAGTTTGCCCCACTAAAGAGAAAATCAGAAATGACGCCCCAGACTGTACTTAAACTATGTTTTTGATAATTATTTTGTTCTGGTGCCCCGACAAACAATTATTGTAGTACTGCACGCGTAAGTGTGTACACATATACATGTATATAATGACCGACACGTGATGATTATTATAGGATTATTATATGCAAAAGGTTCGATACATTGTTGAGAATTTTACAAGTTGAAGATAAGAGAACCGCAGCCGTTCTGATGGACAAGAATTTATATTATGATTTATTTTCCGTTTGGCTCCGGCTCAGTCTAGTTGTGGACACACGTGTACACAACTCAACATGTCCAACATGCATCATCATCATGGCCATCATGGTCATTAACCATTTAATTTGAACTTAACTCGTACACTTTATACTCACTATTTTTAAAACGCTTTTTTATTATTATTATTTATTTGTTTTTAATTTTTTTTTTTTTAATTCCATCTAAAAAAAATGGTTAGCAAAGGAACCGTAAGACAATTTTTAGCCGCGATAGCAGGTAAGATCTTACATAGACTTGTTTTTTAGTAATCTATAATATTGTATTATTTTTTAAACATTGTTGTTAACGATAAAAGTTTATCGTGGTATGTAAGAGTGTTTTTTAAACAAGAAAAATCTCAGTTTTTAAACGTTATTTAATTTTTGTAAATAATAAAAATTTGTTTTATATTATAACAAAATATAGAGTAGTGTGAACCGTGTGGGATATAGAAACCATATTGTGAAAATTAATTTTCATAAATACTGTTTTACCGCCGTTGTCTGGTGTGTATTTCCAAATTTGAAACCAGTTGCAAAAAGGTAAAAATCCCAAACTTAACATCCTAACTCATGTAGTATACATTGTTTAATTGCATTGATTGGCGCTATGAGTGTAATATTATAATAATAAATAACCATCATTTTTACACCGACAAACCAACATAAATACTACGTTAAAAAAAAACCTTTTTTCCAGTTTCTCTGATGAGAAATGTCTTAGCTCTGCCCACGCATAGGTATTAAGCTAAAGAAATATTTTATTTTGTTCTGACTAAGACCGTTATCAGTCTTAACAGCTAATTCGCACAGTAGTTTATTAAATAAGTCTATACTTCTAGGAACAAAATATAGTACGTATAATTAAATCCAATGCACGACTGTGATTGTATACAACAAAGTGGCAAAAATGTCGATGATTTTTTTGATAATTGGTTATTTCGACTGGACAAATATTTTTGCCATTAGAATTCGCTGAATAATAATGCAATATAATATGCGGTGTATAATTAATGTAAGTCTTGTTCTTAATCTTGGAGACGCAGCTTCTTATTAATAATAGACTACACTAATATTACACTAAAACATGTAAACGTCGTGATTTTCTTCATGATGAAACGGGTAGATGTAAAATTAAAAAAAACCGTCAATTGCGATTTAACATATTTTATGTATCTAATTTTTTAACGATCTGCGTTTAATAAATAAAGTACACAAGTTATAATGTAGACAACGGTGTCAACAGTAAGTGCACGTCAAACAGATTGATCGTCGCGTTTCATTTAAAAACCGTTGATTATAATTCGTGTGTTTAGCATCAGTACTATATTTAAATTGACCCACTAGAGAAATGTTAATTAACACTATTTGTATTTAGCACAAATAAAAAATTTCAAATGTACGGTGTATTCCGCTTGTAGCACAATGCACTTGTAGTATAACGACTTGTAATATATGCTAGCTAAATGGTCAATACTGATAATAATATGTAACAAAGTAATAATAATAATACAATATATATAATATATATATATATATATATATATATATTAGACCATATAATATTATGCTGTATTATACGTCATAATACCTGTTTTCCTTGCACATAAGTGACATACTACAAATCAAATCTGTAGTTGAGAGTCAAAAGTTGAGGTTTTACATTTTGTGCGTAGTTAGGTGCATACTTTTTTGTATCAAAATATGGCACCTGTATCTCTAATATCGATATTCAAAAACCTATTAAAATCTCAAATAGTCCATAAAAAAAAATGGTTCAATAATAATAGTCGTATTTAAAATAATAATAATAATATAATGGCTGTCATTTTACCGACAAGTGAAGCCTTTGGGTAGAGGGAGTAAACGAGTACCCCTACCCCAGATTTTTGGTAATAATGATTTTGTTTTGAAATAAATTATATATTATACATATTTATTTGTACATTATTATCTTGTTTATCTGACCTATGGACCTTGTTAAATCACACAAAAAAATAATCAACTACCTCTGTTATCACTATAATATAGTATAGTAATGTACTAATTCTTGGTAGCAAAAAAAGGGCTATTCAATACCCTCCTCCTCCATGGTTAATTAGACACCCAAATAGTTAAAAATATATGTCTCACGAATTTCAAACAACGGTACATTGAACTAAAAAAAAAAAATAATAGTAAATATGTTAAACAAATCATTAAAATTGCAATGAATCATATTAGCACAAATGTGGATCAAATCTGAATTATTTAATGATCAACAAACATACCTATTGTGTTATTCTCACACGTGGCTTCTAATTACTTTTTTTTTATCATCGTACACAGTTAAAAATACCTACTCAAATTAAAATATGATTTTATCATAGTTTTTTTGAACTTTTGAACTACACAATATAGATCAATGTGAACTATGTAAAGTTTAACGAAAATTTGTTTTACCCAGTTGCTTAGCTAAACGAAAATTTAAAAAATATACCATATACTTTATCAAAATATTTATTATAGGTACTAAGACTTTTTATTTTACTTCTACAAGTATACAAATTTTTTATTAATTATAAATCTTTAGTAAATAAATTTCAGCAGCTCACTCGTTTGTAAATTGTTAAAACATAAAATATGGACTTGCTTTCACAGTTAAAAGGCTATATACTTTTTTTTATTTATTGTCTGAGCCCTGAGCAAACTTCGATTTACTCTCAATAAACTCATATCGACAACGGTAATCAGTTATGATCATTATTATTATCATAACCGTGAATGTCACAGTTACCGTTCTAATAACTAAACGAGAACTAAGTTCTCAGCAACATCATTTCTTCTTTTAAAACAATATTATAACATTGCAACGAGAAAAATAATATTTTTCATAGGGACTATTAAGTGGTTATAACTTAGTGTGGTTTTATAATCACATCTAATATCGACACTTAGTAAAACATGTACATGTATAAACGACAATTACTTAATTAATCAGTCAATAATTAGAATGCAAATGCATAGCGAACGAATTACTGACAATTCTATGAAGGTGACACGATATGATATCTCAAGATTTATTTATGAGTTATTATGATAGCATAATATATTTTATTTTTTCAAGTCAATGGCCTAAGTGGTTCAAAAAAAAAAATGTAATTCATTTTAGATAAATTTCCACTGTAGATAAACTGTACACAATGCAAATGTTACCGTCGGCGCTCCGTTTAAAATGTGTGATGGCTAACACCTAAATGGTTATTATGATTTCAGGGTCGTTGTCCATAATGAACGTGGGTATCATACTGGGCTGGACGTCTCCGATCATGGGCCAACTTCTCGGTCCCAACAGCCCGATCCCAATGACCGTTGACGAAAGCTCGTGGTTTGTGTCGGTAATCGACTGGGGTCTGATTCTCGGGTCCATACCGTTCGGGATCATGTCCGACAAATGGGGCCGCAAGCCCAGTCTGTTGATCATTGGCCCTCTCGCCCTATTCACGTGGATGGCCGTGCTGTGGGTGGACACGTTCCAGGGCCTGTTGGTCATTCGGTTTTGCCAAGGCCTGCTGTCGGCCGGAGCGTACACGGTGCTGCCGGTGTACGCTGGCGAAATAGCCGGCCCGAAAATCCGCGGCGCCCTGGGCACCATGTTCCAAATACTCATGTACGTGGGCATACTGTACGTTTACGTGGCGGGCACGTATTTGGACTACAGCCGTCTGACGTACGCCCTGATGTTGGGTCCCGTTTTGTTTTTCGGCCTGTTCGCCTTTATACCCGAGTCGCCGCACTTTTTCGTCATGCAGAACAGAATGGCCGAGGCCAAACGCTCGTTGGTCTGGCTTAGAGGAGGCGCCAACCGGACCGTCGACGAAGAGATGGAAGCCGTCGTCGAGTGCATCTGCAAAGAGATGAGAGGCGCCACATTTTCCGAGCTGTTCACCGACTGGATAAGCCTGAAAGCGCTCATCATCGTCCAGGGGCTGTCCGTGTTCAGGGTGATGGCCGGTATCACCGCGCTCATATCGTATGCGTCCATCACGTTCTCAGAAATGCACGTGGACGTCGACCCCAACAAGCTGTCCGTGGTGTTCGCTTGTTCGGTGCTCTTCTCCGCGTTACCGTCCACCATTCTGGCGGACCACGTTGGCCGCCGACCGCTGATGATATTGTCGTGCACCTTCTGTTTTGTGTTCGACACGGCCATATTCGGTTACTTCTACATGGACCGCCATACCGCGTACGACGTCACCGAATACGGTTGGCTGTGCATTTTGGCCGTCGGCGGTCTGTCCGTGGCGCACACGATCGGACTGGGCTCGCTACTGTCCACCATCAATTGCGAGCTGTTCCCGTCCAACACCCGGTCAACGGCCAACGCCATCAACACCATTACGCTGACCATAGTTTCGTTTCTGGCGCTCAAGATCTATCCGGTGCTGGCCGAAAGTGGCGGCATGTACAGGAATTACATGGTTTCGTCTATGTTCAGCCTGGTGTCAATCATCTGCTGTGTCCTGTGGCTGCCCGAGACCAAAGGCAAGACGTTCGCCTCAATACAGGCCCAGCTCAGAAAGACCAGCGATCTGGTATGAGCATGTGTTCGCCGAGCAACGGCGTTATAACAAAATTGTTGGCCAAACCAGAAAAATTGTTAACGCCACCGTGTTTTAGTGACGCAGGCAAGATATACTGCCAGTCGAATAATACACTTAACTGTCGAATAGATAATTACTAATTCTATTCACCGAGCAAATTTGTATTATGATGACTTAAGCACGTATATTTCAAAAATCGCCAATTTTTGCATAAAAATAAATATTTTGCCTACTGTAATCCCACCACATCAACGCCACATTTATGGTATAGTAGCAATAAACGAAAAATTAATAATTTATCTTACATTTTACATCGTTATTCGTAAATAGATTTGAAAATTATATTATTGTAAATTTGACTTACAAAAGATTAACAGAAATGTTAAGCATAACTGAAATATAATACACATTATAGTATTCATGCGGTTGTTAGTGAATATTTTATTAACTATATTTATTTATATGTTTTGTGATTTTTGTTTAGTTGTTATTACTATTATTGTTTATTAATTTTTCATGCGCTTACGTAGGATAGAAAAATGTAAAACTTATTTAATAATGAAGTATTAAATTTTATACTATTTGTGTATAACTGTGTGATCATATTTTTTTCTACTACTAACACCAACTGTTTATGTAAACAGTGACGAATGTATATAACAGCTGTATTGTAATCCATGTGAAATGCTTGATTTGAAGGTCTCTCCAAATAATTATGGAGATGGCATGTATAAGTATATGCCAAGTATCTAATAAATACATTATTAAAAAATCTGTCCAGAGGACAAAAAGTTATTGTGACACACACAAAAAAACAACACACATAATTATTGTAAAACCAACACCCAACATCAAAGCTAAAACCAGCAATTCTTAAACTCTGTCGATTTAAAGAAGATCTAATTTCTACACGCCCATATTTAAGATAATACAGAATAAATACATGCAACCCGTTTAAATAAAACTACCGGAATATGTCGTTTTAAATAATATAAAATAATTTCTGTAGTACTTGTCGCGTAGAAGGTTATTTTTTTTTGTCGACTATCTAGGATGAAAATCGTTTAAGTATAGAATATAATTTCTTCTAATTCCACTCAAGTGCTATCTCATACAAACAGTTTTCTATGCCAATTATTTGGCCTTTAATGGCGTTTTAATAACTCAAGAAGAACAAAGAGAGTGTAAAACAAAGAGAGAAATATTGAAAACTTTATATATCCTGCGAACAATAATCAACAAGTAGCTTGAGTAAGATTTAATAATATGCGTTTAATAATTATTGTATTATTTAGTGCATTTAACAACATCGTAGAAATTAAGATTGCGTATTTAGATTTAATACACCATCGATAATAACATTTGGTGTAACAATGCTATTACTATACAAACAATTATATACTTTTTTTTATAATTTTCAATTATACGATCAATTCATTTGTAAAACACGATATTAAAGATAAACGGGAACTTATTCGTAAAGAAAACATTTTTTTTTCATAAATGATACACTTAATATCACTTGAGTAATCGATAAGAAACAGGTCAATAAACTGTTATCTATAGTGCATTGTTTGTCCGGCAAATCGTTTTGAACGTATGACCCTACAGTCCAAATAAATAAATAAATAATGTTTACATACTGTAAATAAGGAAAATGTGCAATTTGATTTTTTCAAAACGCGTTCGTATTTATTTTAGTGCAAAGAAAAAAATATAGGTTTTTTTTTGGGAGGGGAGGGGTTAAATAAAAACGAAACACTACGTTTTATCGTTATGTACATCTTTTTTTATTGAATTTCCCGTGTTATGATGTACTTGTACTAGCAATATGGGAATGTGGAAAAACTAAAATGAAAATTACTAAACAGTAAACTCGTGCAGGTCTACAGCCACCAAGGTTAGATAAGAAAGAGGCTTTACCCCCTTAAGTATTACTAAAAAATTGATTTATGTAACATGTGAACCGAACGTTGGTTTTTTAGAACGCAATGTTTTTTTACACGAAACGAATAAAAAATGCGTGCGGTACCGTTGTATTGTAGTAAAATGCAAAACACAAACATTGTCTTACAAGAATATACAATTGGAGGGACCAGACTTAAAAAAAACTGTAAAAAACAACAGTGGGGGGTTGGTTCTCAAGAATACAGACAGTATTTCGGTCCTTCGCCCTGTCACCGTCTTGACCTTGACAATTTTGGGCTATGGTCAAACGTACGTTATTTGTGTGCCTTGTTTTGTACCTCATATGTTAACGTTATGACATATACATTCGTGTATTGGTTTTGCCTGTATTGGCCCCTTTCGTTTGTAAAGTAATAATTCGTTTTCGTCGTTACTCGAGCTGTAGCTGTTAAGAGTAATAATTATTTTTTACCTGGAGGATCAGCAAGTGTCTCTGGAATAATGTGATTTTCTTGAGGAATTCGGATTTGTCCACGGGGTAAACTTGTACGAAATAAGGCAGCAAGGCGTCCATTTTGTAAGTTCCAGGTGCAAGATCTGCGATTGTGTTTACTTGACGCAATCCCGCTTCGTTCAACACTTTGGTCACGCGTTCAACACTGTTCAACAATGTGTAAAACAAAACGATGTCATTCAAAAGAGTTCGTTTTAAGGGCAAACACCGATAATGTTTCTAGACTTGGAGTTAAATTCGAGAGATCATTTGTGTCACGCTAAATCAGGGGCGTAGCAATCGTGGATGCAGTGGAGGGTGAAGCTGCGCGTTCAAATTTAGGACTAACATGTAATTAAGGGCGCAATAAAACGTCTTGCCCCTGCGCGCTCTAGTCTCCAGTTACGCCACTGCGCTAAATGATCATTACTCGATTACTCATTCTGTGACTACTCATTTACTCCACTTTTTTACTCGATACGTGTACTCACTCACTCATTTACTCATTTATTTATAAAAAATCCTAAAAACATTATCAATGTTCTATAACATTATTAGCTGAAAATCTACAGTTTTTTTTTTTTTTAATAAAATGTTAAAATGATTACGTACACTTTAAACGATTTAAAGCTGTTGTTTTACCTGGTCAAAAATGTATTTATCCAACAACTAATAACGGTTTCCGACGATTTCTTGAATCGATCGTTGCGCAAATGTTTGGGCAGCATGTCGGATAGAGACAATGCGCAATGTTTTATCCTAAATTTTGAAAACGAAGCAGCCAGCTGGATTTTTACCCCGCACAGGATTTCGGCTATTTCTAATAGTTTCAATTTGCGAAAACTCTCTAGATCCTTTTCATCTAGAATTCTCGGCATGAATTTGTTGCGATAGTAATCAAACAACATCAACCACACGAGCAACTCCATTTTCGTATACTAGTCAACAAAAATAAAATAAAAAACGGTTAAATTCGCGATTGGTACCGCAACATATTAACCCTTTCGGTTCAAAATACAATTAAGAGAATATTTTTTTTCTAATACATAACATACTACAACATACACCATGATAATACTTACCATAATACATGCAATACAAAATTTCTAATTTTCTTGATATTCCGTTGGTATAATACAAATGTTTTTCCATTAAGTTAAATCGTTATCACATGTGTAAGTATTACCACAAAAAAAAAAAAAAAAAATTGTGCACATTATATTGTGCCTGTGGAGTGTGGACTGAAAGGGTTACCTGAATATGAAACTTACGGCCGGGTAGATTTTTTTGAAATCGATGTTGTGGAGTATTTCGTTGATAATCGTTCGGTCTGAAAAAACAAACGAATTTTACTTGTTGACTTTTCAATAAATCGTTTTAAACATCGTGTTTTTAAAGGGGCTATAATATGTGAATTTGTGATATTCAACTACTTATAAATAGTACATTTATGTCATGTTATTCGTTATAACTATTACTAGAGTGTATAATATAAACAATAATGTGTATAATATATAAACAAGTACATTGTTTGGCAATTGTATGTTTACAGAATAAACGATTGACGGTCTTACATCTGAAAACGTCGAAAATAATGTCGTACACTCTTCTCATTTGATTATCGTTGGCAAACCTGACACCGTGTATTTTAGGATCGTTGGCGCTTAATACTTGAGCTGCAAGAACTATTTCCTTATTGGTCCACAGTTCTGCACTCCTGTCAAACTCCTCCATTGTTTCATTGTCAGGTTCTTGTGCACAATCGATATGCTGTTTTGCTAATATTTCTTTGGGTGTCCGAATGAACGCCGTTTGCAGTAAACAGCCCACTTTAAGGGACGATGTAATGGATATTGAATCGTTTACTCTGTAATTTTATAAACGAAAAATCTACAAAGTTGTGATTCCCATCGCAGCTAAGACTGAACAAAGTGGAGTATCGGTACTAATTATTACTACTTTATGCAATTATATATATACACTCTTACATAATTTGTTTGCTCAAGTCCCTTTGTCTTTCCACCAGTTTCTTGTACGTACTCAACTGCCAATCCGGATCGCTGGGCAAAATTATTTTCAGTCTATCCAAATTCGTATAGGCTCTATCCTGTTTCAATTGTTTAAAAACATCTGCCATATTACCAGTATGACAATAAATTGTACATAATAATACGACTATGGAATAATTGTTGTTATTGATGGCGATTTGTTACAATTCATACCATAACAGTGACTAAATTAAATTTAGATTAAATAATATAGAGATTGCGTTTTACACAAATAGTGTCGTCGATGGTTAAAAAAATATAGCAGCTGTATAAAAAAAGTTTAGTTGGTACATAAATAGGTTTTACATAATTTAACGCTATTCGAAACTAGACGCGCACTTAAGAACACATAATAATACTAATATAGTATAATAAACGTTTAAAATTTAAACTATTTATGAGCTCTTAGAAAAAATTGCGAAGTGCAAGACAGACCTAATACAATTTAACTAGGTCAGCTGTTGATGTAATTCTGACACTGGAAGTTCGGATTTGGCCACGAATCGCGAATTGTTTGCATGTCTAACTCCATTTCTGATAATAGATAGGTATGCATGTATGGTAATGGATCGCTTAAAACACACTCGTGTGTCGTTTATAGGATGATTTGATTTGTAATATCCTTCAAACAAATGGGTTCGTGTTGAATTTAAAGTATTCGGTAATAGATTATGTTACGTTTACAAGAAAGCAACTGAAATAGGTACATGTATAATATAATATATATTATATTCGTTTTTGGAAAGTGAATAAGACATGCTACCTAGCAAAATAATATTTCAAGTATTGAATTCAATATTTGAAGGCAAACCGATATTAATAAAATAATTTATCACAGAATAAATATCAAGGCCCGAAAATCCGAAAAGTGGAAATAGGGATTATTTGTATTGTGCAAATATTACCACGTTTATGGGATATAAAACCATTTTTACAATTCTATTGCGAATTAATTTCCCCTAAGATCTTCAACACTAATATATCTTATTGTTCAAAAATTTGCATAAAAAATCATAAATCAAACGGACAACAAATAATAACGACGTAAATTAGCGTTGGACAAAAAATGTCCAATGAATTTTAGTTACTTTTTTCTATAAGTACCTACATTGTGTGTTCTTTCAATATCTATTGCAGACAATCAACATAATATCGTGCACATTATTGATCGTATAGGTGGTGCTAAAATTAGGTCAGACTCGCCGTAGTTTAAATATTAAATAATGGTTAATAGCTAACTGATGTTGGTTTGTGAATTATGAAGATTCAAATTTTTTTTTATATCAAAAATACCTACGCCATGCCATTAGCTATTAATTGCCGTTTGTGGCACTTTTGCCCGGTCATGCTGTTATCATTTCTCAGTTATCAATTTATCATTCTATTTTAGATAACCTGAGCCAATGCAGTTTACATTAGTAACATTAGTTTACATAGGTTTTGCTATTTTCTAACAATTCGTATTCAATTTTTCTATGATTTTATTTTAGAGGACAACTTGTGGTAATAATTATTCTGTTTTTTAACTACTCGTCAAAATATTCCAACTAAACCATGCCTTCAGCAGTCAGTACCAAAGGTGTAACCAGGAGTGAAATATTAGGTTTGATGAACGAGAAGGAAAAACTCGAACAGCAACTTTTAGCCCTAATGGAAGTTTTAACTTCGGTATGTTCTAATTATTAAATACTAGACTATATTAAAGAGTAGTTGGTTATTTTTTCTTACTTTTTTGGGACTTATACAAAAAAAGGAACTAAATTACAACTAATAACTGGTGAATTGGTTTTGTACATGATGTTTATGAATTACTTTACTGTTATTGTTAACATATTATTTATAGTATATTATGCTATTAACTAATTTTGAGTATTAAATAAAAAACTGAACTTCTCGCGTCTTGTACTCTTATAATAGGTACAAGTTAGATTCTAGATTAACGGTTGAATATTTTTTTATACCTGTTGCAGCACAGAGTTGGAATGGATGACCCATTGGTGGACGAACAAGATTTTCCGCGGAATGACATCGACGTTTATCAAATTCGTTTGACACGTAATCAAATAATTCGTAAGTTTTATACTATATTGTTTCATTACTTAGAACTTTAAACTATATTATAGGTATAAGTTTTTTAAAATTGTTGTATAGTTTTTAAATGGTTACTTAAAACTACACATGTAGAAGAGGAAAAAAGTTACACTTTGTGTAATACACCTTCCGATACTATTAACCCTTACAGACCAAAAACATTTTTTTCCACAATCGTGCGAGACTGGTTGAACAAAGTAACAATGTTGTATTGTTATTAAAAAATAAAAACGAACTCTCATGATCGTGGCTTGTTGGTCTGTAAGGATTGAAAGATTATAGTTCAAAAAGTAATCATTTGAAATCCAAAAGCAATTATTAGTTAGTAAATTGTTATAAAAAAATGAACTACTAAGATAACACAATATACAAAAATATAACAATATGCATATTAACTACCCAATGCCATAATTTGTTTGAATAATTTTTTTATGTTAATATATTTTTTAGGTACCCGAAATGATCTGAAAGCCATTATGGACCGTATAGAGAAGAGTTTAATTGAATATTTTACACAAGGCAGCAGTAATGAGCCCGATTCTATGAATGGACACTGTAGTTTAAAACCGGAGCATTAAAATTTCACAAATTACGCAATTTTATAAAATGCAATGAATATTAAAAATGTAAATAGTTTTAATTTTATAAAAAAAATGTTTAAAATTGAAAAAGTAAAATAAAATGTATTGTTTTATCACTAATTGAACTAGTATTCAACCAATGTATAATACAAATAAAATTAGGATAACAAAACTATTTTAAATTGATCCAGAACATCTACTTATAAAATTTTAAATAATTCCTAGCTATAGTTTATAAATAAGCTCTAATGTGAATTTTTAGTGATTACAAGATGGCAGATTTGAGAATTTATTAATAATAAAATTTGTAATTTTTTGTTATTGCAAAGTTATATTATTTTATTATCAATAAACCACAGTTTAAAATATTTAAAATTATTGTGCAATAAACTTACAATCCGGTTCTATTAATTGCAGACATACATTTAATTTTTTGTATATTAAATGATTTTCCAATCCAGTCGAAACAACTTTTCAATTAATAAAGACGAGCTTTTAAATTGTTCATGTCCAACTCGACTTTGTAGAGGAATAAGCTTTTGTTGAAACTTGAAATTAAAAAATTGTAAAGAATATTTCGGATTTACAAAATGAATACAACGAGGGAGCAATATTAAGAAAATCGTGTAGTGTTATGCTGTGCAATAAGGGAATAATTTTTTTAAGAATGAATATAAAATCATTGTTAGAATTAATTAGTATATATTATTTTATTTACATATACAGTCTGACTAACTAAAGTGTAGTTATTAAGATCTTCGATTTGGTTTTTTTTTTTTTTTAACTGAAATTGTACCTAAAACTAATATTTCATAAACTTCATTTTATTTTAATATTGAAATCTTAATTTTTGCTATGTATAAAATAATTAAATAAATGAAAAGAGTAGCCATAGAAAACTATATTTATCATTTAACAAATTTTAAGACAACTTCATCAGTAGAACTACTAACTATTATTTCATAATTTAGTTTAACGAAATTTATATAGACTTAATTGAGACAAAATTTCTAGGTCCCATTGTTATTTTCTTAGCTAAAATAATAATATACCTACTATAATTTTTGTATTAATCCCGACTTCTCTAATAGTATTTTTTTTATTAAATGCTTAGCACAACTATCAGGTAAAAAAACTGAACGTTATATTCATTAACACTTAATAAAATAAGTTTGCATGTTTGAAATGGCTCTTATTGTTAGATCAAACTATGTTGAGTATTGCCTATCCTTTGTCCCTTAATTTAGCAGCAAATTGGTTAGAAGTTAAGCTTAAATGAAAAATAATTGTATTATCCTGTTTAGTTATTCATGTTTTCTATTTGTTATTTAAAAAAAATTATTGTTTATTTAACTTGAATTTAACCGTACCTAACAGATGAAAAGTTTAAAAACACAAGCTCATTAATATCATATAATGTATTCTGTATTCGTCAATTAGCAAAGGTTTTCCTGGGAATTAAATTAGAAACGCGTTTTAAGTTAAATGGCTATTAAAGGTTTTTTAATAAAATATTAGTTTGTTTGTTGAGTAGAAACAATGTGAGAGTGTCAAACCGAATAGGTAATGTCAAAACACGGTCAAGCTGATTAGTTTTTATTATATATTGAGTGGGTTTAAAAGCGAATACACCATCAAGTTTTAAAACATGTTAAAAACAAAATATCCAAGACGTACAATAATATGAGTTGGGATTAGTCCCAACTCATATTAACTGACTAATTGTCCAGTTTCTCAAGACCATACTTAATAGACTAATAATTTTACAAACGTACTAAGTAAGCCAAATAGAAACAACTCATTTAGAACCCTAATATTTATTTTCAGTTGGATACCCGATTTAGTAATTTACCCATTATTGGAAAATGTTTATTATCCAGTTAAACACAGTGTACAATTTTATGTAAATTTTATAAACGATGGTAATAATTATGAATATATTTTGAACTGTAAATAGAACTTGAGAATTCAATAATCCACATAATTTGTATTTTAAGTTTATCAAAAAACCGAAAAGTCAGAAGTATTATATTAATACATATATTGTGTATTCACTGTAAATCACTGTAGCCGCTATATAACACAGAATCTTGTCTTATAATCTTAAATTCTGGTACTTTGATTAAATACCCAAAATAGACGAGAAATGCAAAGTATAAAAATTGTTGTATATCTAATTATATAATCATTGTAAAATTCTGTTTGAAAGGAAACTATAATAAGCCGAAATTTGACTCTTGTAAATCATTGGAATTTTTCAGTTTAGACTAACCAGGTCAACCTAGTTATGCATCATTCATAAATAAATAACTATATTATGCACACTTTACCGCCGTGCGCAGCAAACGAGACGCGCATTTCAAGTCACACGAGTACAATAGCACACCGCCATTACCTTAAAATGGTTATTAACACAATATTATTGTTGTACTATAGCTGATGTGTAGTTATAACGAACATTTGTGCGTACACAACAAATTGTGCACGTGTCGGTTTTTAACGATGACAAATGACAGAAGAGCGAATTTTTATTATTATTTATTATTCACGGTCGAGTATAACCGATGAATAGTCGTGTAGAATATTATAGAACATAGTACGTCCACCTATCGTTTGTGCCTCTTAGTACGAGTTTTAGGTTTGATCTTATGTGAATATTTTTGAAAGAGAAAGATTGAAGCTTCACAAGACACTGTGTTGGTCAAACTGTTTTCTAAGGTGTGGATTTTATTATTTTATTATCAGTGTATGCCCTCCACCACTGCAGTGACAATGTTTAATGCATCTGATAAAGCGTCGTGGGATCAATAGTTCGCGTTAATAAATATGATATAGTACATATATATATATATATATATATATACTATTGTACTATTTATTTTCCAATCCGCCTACAGTGTACTTAATATAAAAAATAGTCTTGACTTACAGCAGCTGCAAACAGGCGACAGCTATCACTTATTTGTCTTATCGGACGTAGGACAAATTTTGAACGACCATCGGTGCATTCTTATTTCTTTATAGTAATAGATATCGTCGACACGCGACGTCGTAAATAATATTGTACTCTTAAATTACTTTCAAATATAGCTGTTGCTCTAATTGACTGGACGTGGCAAAGGTTACTGGTTAGTTATAATAGTAAAAATATAAAATAACTAGTTTTATTGTGTATTATCTCAAATTTTATCGAATGATAGCTAATTTGTTTTCCACTGAATCGATTTAGCAGCAATAACGCAAAGACATCATGTCGTCCGAAAAAGAAGATGGTGCAGTCGAAAAACTTATGGAGGAAGGTCCAAAGCAAGTGGAATCCGTCGAAGACAAATACGACAAGCTGAAAGAGTTTGATATGGCCGAACACGTGGAAACCGCTTACGCTGGTATGGGCAAAGAAGAGTTATTGAAGTATGCTAATAGTCCGTTTTGGGTGCGGCTCAGGTGGCTGCTATTTGTTGCTTTCTGGCTATCGTGGTTCGCCATGATGTTTGGCGCTCTATTTATTATATTTATGGCACCCAAGTGTTTCCCACAAAGACCCATCGAGTGGTATCAAAAAAGTCCGGTGTACATTATAAATGCTGCTAATCTCGGCAAAGAAGGTATAATATATTATAACTAAATTAATAAATAATTGTTCTGATTAATTATCAACGACTTTAATGACGTTTTTTTTTTTTCATAAACCAAGGAGTCGATGCAAAAATTGACTATATAAAGAAACTTGGCATTGAAAACGTAGTGCTATCGTCAGCTCTCCATGGTGATAACGATCAAGTTATTGACTTCTTAAAAGTTAATGCTTCATTAGGAACTATTGACTCGATGAAAGATCTTATAACAAAGTTGAAGTCAAAAGGTAACATTTAATATATTATATTTATATCTAGATCTATTTTATTATTGGAATTAGGGTGAATTTATAATTTTTTTTATAGTTACAAATTTGTATGATAACATTTTGTTTTTTTACAATATCATGTTTATTATAAAATTCATTTTTTAGGCCTGAAAGTGATGTTAAAGATAGTTCCCAATCAATCTTCTTTGACAAATATGTTTTTTGAGAGATCAGTAATGAAAGAAAATGAATTCAAAGATTACTATGTATGGAGTCCGGGTCAAATCAATGATAAAGGCAATTTTCCGATTAATAATTGGGTAAGAATTAAGTATTAATGTAATAATTAAAATGTAGTTAACTTATAATCTATTTGTCAATTTGACTTTGGATGAGTAATCAGGTTATGTAATTAATCTCATAGTAGGCTAAAGAATTAATTTGTTTTTTATTTTAACAGCTGAGCGTTAATGGAGGATCAGCATGGACATGGCACGAATCACGCCGTGAGTTTTACCTTCATCAATTTTCTGATACTGAACCAGATTTCAATTTCCGAAACAAAGACGTTGTGAAATATTTTGAAGTATTCAGTTTTATTTTAATTAAGTTGTTTAATGTTTAATTATTTGTTAAGAATTTTTACTATTTTAAAATTTTTGCTAACAACATCTTGTAACTTATGAACTATTTTGGATCAACCACAAAGTCTGCTCCATTGTAGTTTTTATTCTAGTGTCGCTCTTACCTTTTAATCTTTTCCTCTCCTCATGACATGTCCTAACTATTGTATCCTCTGACCATGAATAAAATCATTCATTTAAATTAAAACTGCAAATTAAAATCAAATTTTTGTAATTTCAGGATGTGTTCAAATTTTGGTTAGATGCTGGCGTAGATGGATTGTATTTGGATAAAGTGCAATATCTGTTTGAAGATAAATCATTCCAAAATGAAACTATCAATTCAAAAGATGCTAATGCCAGAAATTACAATTCATATAGCCATACATTTACAACTGATCTGCCTGAAACGTATCAGTTGTTATCAAAGTGGGGAGAATTAATTTCCAAAAAATCTGGGCAAGTATTAAAAATATTTCTAGTAATAGGTATGGAGTATAAATTTTATTGATAGTAAAATTGTTTATAATTGTGTAGTTTAATTTTTTGGGGGTTTCTTGACTACGTATTAAAAAAAAATGGCAACTGTACCAATTGCATTAATTTTTTCAGTGAGAAACGTATACTACTACTAGTTGGTTGGAAAATTAGTACTATTGTAAAAAAACTAGCAAAAATAATAAAAAAAAAAAGATAAATAAAATAATTACTTTTAATTTTACCATATTTAAACTTTAATAAATGCTTTCAGTTAATTTTAAATCAAGAATTGAAAGGAGCATAGCCTGACACACTTTTTAGCCAATTTCTTTATTTTTTTAATGTATATTACTCAAATAATGATAGATGAAAGGTGTCGACAAATACATCTTTATATTATAATATGTCTTCTATTTATTTTTTTTGTGCTTTTTATCCACAAACTATTAAAACTGATCAATGTTCGACTTTAGATATGTAAATATATTCTATAGTTATTATTTTATGTTTTAAAATGATGATGCTCATTCAAATTAAATTTAGCCATTGAACTAACTGATTTTTTATTGTTGTTTTATGACTTTCAGATTTTTAATTTTAAGCGACGTCGATAGTAAAAATATTTCAGGGGTTAACATCGCACACAGTCCTATCGTTTTACCATCAGACTTTACTGGAGAACAACTGCTGGGGATTCTGGTTAAGAAAACTTCATCTCACTGGCCATCTTGGGAGGTCTGTTAACTATATTGTGTAACTGTTCGATATTGAATTTTTGATATTCTGTTTGAAATTATTATTATTATAATTTTTTTTTTTAGTGGACCTGTGGCGAAGGAAATAATTGCTGGAAAAACGAAACACTCGAAGCTTTTAATATCCTCAGTTCTTTACTAAAAGGAACACCTGTTATTCAAGCCGACAATAATATATTTGCAAACAACCTTATTCCAAATATTACATTGGTCGATAGTACGTTAAAAGAACTACGTGCGACTCCTGCATTCGAATATGGTTCTTTTAACGCCAAACTAATAAGTGATGATAACGTATTAGTTTTCGATAGGTATTTTGACTGCTGATAGACATTTTATTATTCATTTGAATTTCTAATTACACTCGACATTGTTATTGTTTTTAGGGTAATAAGTAGTTCGGAGAGTTACCTGTTTGCGTGGAACTTAAGTAAAAATACCACAACCATTAGTCTGAAGACTAAGTTCGAGGAAGTACCAAAAGATGCACAATTAATTCTCTGCACGACGTCTGCCTGTCCTATTCTTCCTCCTCTTAAGTAAGTTCCATTAATATTTTTTCCTGTATGTAGGCATAACAGATTTAGTATGAACTTTCATATAAAATTGTACTTGTGTAGCCCTGATTATGTGTATGAAAGGTGAATTGGGAAAATATTTTAAAGTAGAATAGTTATAAAGTAGAGTTTAGAAGACTAATATTTAATTTGTATTAATTCATTAAAAATTGAACATTATTTTGTATATTTCCCTAATTTAAATAATAGTTGTCAAATAAAGTAAAAATCAATTTTTATTTCTATTTAAGACTAGCCTGATCATTTTGATTGAACTAGAAATCAAATCTTTTTAAATTTGGAACGGGAAGGTGTGAACTTTTCAACTGTTAATACTTAACCTTAACCTTTCATAGTGTTTAATTTGTATAATTTGTTACCTTAACCTTCAACTGGTATTGTCGAGTCAAAAGTTACCTGATAAATGTATAATTTAATATATTGATAAAATTAAAAACGTTGAGCACTTAATTCCTTCTATAAAAGTTAATAAAAAAAAAAAAAAAAATAGTTTATCATACTTACAATATTAAAAATATACATACGGGTCAAATATGACCAGACAATACAATTAACGATACATGATTGAATGTACAGTTCCCTAGTAGACAAATTTATCACAAATGCATATTAAGAAATGCAATTATTATTATTTGATTAATGCCTAATATGTTTAATTGGTTTTCTGTTACAGATCAAAAGTTGACAGTTACAATTTGAGCATAGCGGCAGAATCCGCTGTAGTATTAAGTTTTTAAACAATAGATAGTTTTAACTTGAACAAAATAATTTATTTAATTTAAGTGATATCAAAATGTATCATCTATTATAATCTCACTATTTGTTATATTCGCTTTACTTGCGCTTAATAAATACAAATTTTGTAGTAATATTCAATCTTACTACTTTATGAAATAAATTGATTGTTATTGAAGAGATTTAAAACTAATTTTTGGTTTTATTTAATTTTTACATTAGTTATGTGATACGTTTGCTTTTATAAGTGTCACGTTAAAGTCAATCAACAATTGTTAATAATGTTATGACCATTAAGTTTTGATTTTAATAAAAATTTTGCGCCACAGTCAAATAAGATTTGAATTAATTAAAGCTAAAATTGAACAAGCCTGTTTGGATAGATGGACCTTTTAAACAACAGGGACAACCTGCCTAAACACTTAATCCTTTCTTACGAATCACTGTAGCAGTTGTAAGGTAAAACTTGTTTTTAGTCATGGCGTACTGCGTTTGATGTTAATGAAGAGCAGAGCACTTAGTAGTTTCAGGCATTCTGTAGAAAGACAAATAGGTAATAAGCGACCTTTTGAAATTTACAATGGCCTGTGCAACAAAAAACAATAACAAGGACCTAATCTTGCCCACTGTCTAGTCGGTCACTCGGGGCCAGTTACTATCAAAAACTACTGTTGGGATTTAACGTTATATAAATGTATTGTACAACAGCTACCTATTCTGTTAATTAGGTATTTGGGTGTCTTTTTATTAGTAAAAATATAGATTGTTTCCTTCGTAGTAAAGACATTGGTTGATGGACAAGTCTTTTTGGCAACTATGTTAACAGTCGGTAATCGCATGGTAATTCAATCGGGACACATTTTTGATAGATTCCCATTAAAAATCCAAAAGATGTGTTTGTGTCAACATCTGTTTATTTTCGGAGTCTTACAATGTCATATACCTACCTGTGGTTTTTTTAGATTAAACAAATTTGTCGTTTTAGTTGAAACATAAATCTTAAAGAACTTTATGATTTTCGTTTGGTACAATTCCGCTTTGATTGTACCAATGGACATAAAAATCCGTAAGTAAGGTACATCACTATCACCTCACCTTCCCCCTCCCCCCATAACACTACGCCACAAATAACTTGGGTAAAACCTGTGGACAATTTCGGAATCTAAAACCCTTCTTGGTTACATTATTATGACAAATATTGAGTACCGTACAAAGTTTTTATAATTAATTTTCTGCTTTTATTCATTCTTTTAAAAATGTATTGACTACTAATCGCACAGTCTTATTTTACATTAGGTACAAATTACAATCGCATAACTTTTAAATAAATTATGCGAACTATGCACTACCCGAACTTCTGTAACTATATATACTAAACAATAATAATTGATTTTCAAAACTGCGACGTCATGCCATGCCATGATATTATGCGTCCGGTATTTGTGGATGTAATACATTTTTCGTTTAGGGTGAGTATGTACGTACATACTCACGTGGTTCAAGAAATTCCAATCTGTTTGCCTATCAAAAATATATATTTAATAATGGAGAACTCATTTTTTAGGCTACTGTGAACACTTAATTGGTTAATTGGTTGATCTAGCATTGGCATTGTCGTGTCCAAAAATGTATTGCCTAACAAGCAACTACATTTAAAATTTAAATTTCGTTTATTTAATTGGTTATTTTTGCAATTATTGTACGAACTCGTTATGTTCCCCTTTTAAAACAACATATTAAACAATTCAAAGTCCAAACTTGTTGAAGAACACTTGGGTAAGAAGTAATCAACAAATAAAGTTGTATATGCAAAATACACATCAAATATAATTATTAAAAAAAAAATCTTATCAAGTATTTCATTATTGTGTCATGCATAAGTATCACTAACTAAAAAAAATTAATATTTTACTAAATACAATTATTTATGGCTGGTGAAGGAAAAAAATATTTTGCTCGGTCGTTTTTAGGTTAATTGAGTTGGGTACAGTGGGTTGCGGTTGCGGTCGACTACAATAAATATTATCTCGGACCCTACACACAGGGGCAAGTGGTGACTGTGAGAGTAGGGAAGGATAATCTTGGTCACAGTAGTATTAAGCTGGGAAAATCGTTGCCAGTAACGTGGGAGGTATAGCAAGATTTAAAATTTATCGCCCGATAGATAGGTATCCACGCTAAATAATAACGCATGTGTAATGTATATTATTTATACTTTATACTTCTTAACAATACCAACCTTAAATATTTTATTTAATATAGGAACATTTTAAATAGATGTGTGCAGTAATAATATGTATAATACCTAATGTATAATATTAATTTAATTCTAATTTGTTTGTATTATATTTACCGTTTGGCTCTAGCAAATAAGTTGAAATGTTTATAAAAAAAAAAAATGGTCGGGAAATTCGACCACTATTAATCAACTTAGAAGTGTCTCAAAAGGGTTAAAATAATATTCGGGTTGTTTTTAGTGTACGCGTTAATCCTAAGTAGTTCTACGGGCCACGTAGATATAAAAACAAGAAATCAATTTTGTTTCGAATTTCTGTTAATTTCTGTAAATTGGTTATGTTTACATAAAAATGAAACACAGTGACGTAAATTCCGGACTTGTTTTAGACCAGGGACAAAATTTAACTATTATCAGCTAAAGCCTCTAAGGAGAAAGAGAAATTGATAAATGTATTAACAATACAAATATAAATCAATAATAATTAATATTATTTGCGTTCAAGTGTGTTTTAAACTATGTATATTAGTAAAATAGTAAGTGACCTGAGAATAGCCTTTTATTGATAAATCCACACGTATAGTAAAAAAATGTATGCACTGGTTTTGTTATTTTTCTGATATTGTATTAATTGAAGAATAATTCATAAATAGGAGGTACTATATTTACTATAACAAAAACTTTATTATCCAATATACGTAGGACCATACAATCGAACCTTTGGTTTTAAAAAAAAAGCCAGTACAGTGGGGTCGGGGCATAGTAGGACTTCGTATATTGTGGTGGAAGAGATCACAGCTCAATATTAATTATCATTAAAACAGAAAGTGATCAAATCACTTTTAAAAAAACGTTTCGATGTCGAGTTAGCCATATGTGTCTGTCTTTTGCTGCTTCCTTTAGTTGTTGGTAGGATGCGCAGCCCATCTTTTCTTTTATATCATGGAAATAATTTGTTCTAGGTCTTCCTCTTGGTCTTCGTCCCATTATTCTTCCCTCAAATATATTATTAAGAAAATCATTGTGACGAATGATATGCCCAATAAGTTTGATTTTCCTTTCTGTTATGTAAATCATTAGACTTCTTTTCTCTCCTATTTCATCTAGAACTCTTTCATTTGATTTCCATTCCATCCAATTGGTCTTAATCATCTTCCTCCACAACCACATCTCCATTGCTTGCAGATTGTTTTTATCTTTTTGCGTCATTGTCCACGTCTCACATCCATAACATAAGATACTCCATACAAAAGTTCTAACTCATACATAACAACCTATAAATTTACTACGGTAAAAGTGTAATTTTCTCATTTTTTTTTGGGGGGGGGGGGGGTCAGATTTTTGAGAAAATTGTACCTATACGTTATAGTCCCATTCTAAATCTACTTTCGGACTAATTTTCAGACCTTAAACCTTAAAAATTCACCTAAAAAAACGAAATAAAGAAAAAACTTTCACCCCTTCTTGAGAAAGCGGATGTGATATTTGTTTGTCAACGTTTATCGGTAGTACTATATGTCTGAAGCATATTTCATCTAAATTTGGAACTAATAACTAATTCAACTATTTATAAAAGAGTTATAGCGTGAGGACATTTTAAGTTTAAATATATTATGTAAGATTACTGGGTGTTTTTGTTAATTTTAAAGGGGTAGAGGTGAAGTGTTCTCCTTTTGACCCGCCAAAGTACCAATCGGATACAAATATACAATAAACAATTATTAGTTGCTCTTCGAGTAAATCGATCCATAGGAAAACAAGTTATTGTGTTTACAAACACAAAAACAAACTACATCGTCGTCATAAGTTTAATATCATCTAGCTTTACATAACATTTAAAAATATATAGGTACCAATAAAGCTATAAAGCTTGACGTCAAACTTTATAATTAGGACAACAACAATTGTTAAATTAATTATTATAACTGTATTCGAATACTCGAACAGTATTCGAAGAATTCTAATCCTAATTTCGAATATTTCCCATCACTAGCTGTACACGCAAGCACGATCGGCGTGTTGCCAAAGCGCCAGGCCGTATTTTCTGAAAGTAAAACATTATTTTTGTTAAAAAATAAAAAAAAACGACAACCAAAAAAACTTCAGGGATTTATACGAATAGCCCGTTCGGCATATGAATTATCGTGTATGTACACAATAATAATAATAATAATTATTGTTGTGAACCACGTTTTCGCCCATTTGCCTCCCCTGCCCTCATTTGAGCACTGCCGGAATGACCTTTTTTGCTGCTATGCGATATCTCTTCCCCCTATATCTCTGCTTCCCCTCCCCTTTTTTAGGCACAGACGATCGACGTGACGTGTCCTTGTTCCACACAGCGAGCAAATCCGGAAATGTATTATGTTTTGTATTCTTCTCCCTCGCCGGGCACGACGACAACGCGTCCTGTCAAATCTAAACGGGTTTTATTCAAAATATTATTATTATTATTATTATTATTAATATAAACAGTACCGGCGACTTCCTCGAGACCGGAAACGCACATCGCCTTAGAAACGGCGGACGGCTGAAGACGATCCATTATTTTCGCTTAGCGCACAGATGGAAATATAGTCGTCTTGTGTCTCCATGGTTGTTTAGTAATAACACGCTTGACGGGTGATAAGTACGAATTCATACAGTAATATATATGATAAGTACGAATTCATACGGTAAAACATTATATTATGACATTTTCACCTTCGATACTGAGCTGAGAAGTTATTGTTGTTCTTACAATGATGTGTTTATATTTATTTATTTTTTTGTATCTAGATTACCCACGATATCTTTTAAACAGCTGAACCGACTTCTTCGTGTAGCCAGCCTATAGAATTAAAAGGTACTTTATTTGGTCGAAATTTTAAAAAGTTCCCTTCGAAATCGAAAAATTTACCCCAAAAATTTTAAGTATACCAATTTGTATGAAATATTCTTTAGGTATAGTACTATCA